CTATGCACTAATTATTCAGACTAACGGGAGAATACTGTACTGTAATGCATTATCATATACACTAGCATACTGGATTTGATGAGTAATTACAGATGAGAAGAGAAATTATTGCTTGGAGGTAGAAGCCTCAATAAGTAAGACCGTTTCATTTCAAGTAAGTGTTTTCTATTTTTTACTTATAAAATAATTTTTTTAATCATAAGTGAAGTGTCGTACCATTTATGGGATAAATATGTCAAAAAATAACCCCAACTAATAACATAAGTCTTATGGTAACTTTGACAAGGTAGCAGTATGACTGAGATATTTCCCAGAACACAATGTTTTTTACCCCAAATTTCCCCAAAATATAGCTAGAGCACCTTTACTGATACTGGGTGGGAGAGCATGGTGCATGGTTTCTGCCGCCCAAACTGTGACATATTCAGAACGTGTGTAAGTGAATTTCTCAAAGCGTTGCTGGAATTTTGTCAAAATTTTCAAGACACATATACTGTACTGTAGTTGATTTTGCAATGTGTGGTTACATATTAGGCAGAGTTTGTACTGGTATATATATATATATATATATATATATATATATATATATATATATATATATATATATATATATATATATATATATATATATATATATATATATATGTATACAGTATATTTTTGGAGGTAACCTAACTTCAATGGAAACTGATTTGTTAGAAAATGCAACTACAGGGAACCAATCCTTAATCAATTTTTTTTAGATCCAGTTTTCATTCTTTTTTACTACCTATACTTGAATACTGCCCACAATTCAGCTATCCCACACAAGTACAGTTATGGATATTGGCCATAAAACAATGATGATGGTCCTAACTTTTCAGACTCTGAACCCAACAGCAGCCTTAAACCGTTGGACAAGATATCCCATGTATGAAGTTTGTTCCCTTAAGGGAATTCCAATTTTGAACATAAAATAATTATTTCTTATATTCTACACAAGATTTTCATCAAATTTCATTCCATCAAACATAATACCCGAGCACCCTGTCACTTCTGGAAATATGTTAAACAAAGAGAATGATGCATAGGTAGCCTGTAAATGAACCAAGTTGTAACACAGCTCAGCTCAGTACCAAAGACTGTTTCTGTCAAACACAAACAGTGGGATGGTCTTCCACCGAGTGTCTTTGCTCAAGATATTGCTTAGTTTAACAAAGGGAATTAAGAACAGTTCTTAAGGATAATTAACCCGATAACTGCGATATACATTCTCGAATGATAAGCGGAGGAGTGTGACATACACTCTGGAATTCAGAGCATCTCGAATGCAGCGCACGAAAAATTTTATATCTCGCAGGGTCAAGTACGGGAAGTTTACACTAGCCAGTTGTCCCTCTGGGTAATTCTCCTGCTGATGACGCAGTCATATCTCAGTCACTATGGAGTCAAGACGTGTGTCCTCGCCCCTCCAGCCCCAAACCCACTGACTTTGCAAATTCACCACGGCCAAACTAAGTTAAGTGATGGACTCATATTTGGTTTCCATCTTCTTCTACATACAGTACTATCCTTTTAACCAAGAATTAAAATGATGTTCGGGGGAAAATCGATATACAGTACCGTATGTGTTTGTATATATATATTTCTTTCCACGCACTTGGGGGTTTATCGGCGAATCACTCTACCGCAGTTATCGGGTTAACGTGATTTTCTGACTTTCTTCTTCAGGATGTACTGGGCAGGTTGGAGTTAGTTCTCATTTCAGGTTAATGATATTTTTATGCTTGATATTTAGTGGTACACTTAATATTATTACATTGTAATAATAATGATCAATATATCTGTAATAATAATTTTTTATGTTTTTCTCATGAGGCATTTATGCACAACCTCCAACCCATGTACAGTTATAGGAAAGGCATGAGGCCCCTTATGTGCTTCACTCACCTTTCACACACAATTTAAATTTTTTTTAGAGAACATGTGGTAGTTTTCAGAACCTTTATAGGGAGAAAGACAAATAAAACCTACAAAATAAAATCTCCAACAAAACCCTTATTAATACATGATATTAATATTTCAATAATGAGGTAAGTCTCTAAATAATGGTTTAATTGAGATATGAAGTAATGCATACAGTATGCAGTACGTGCGTACTGTATATTTGGTAAAGGAGCATTGTGCTATCTGCGACCATATCTGGTCCCTATCCCGCGAGAACAATAAGGACTTGATGTACATTAAAAAAGTAGGTGTGCAGACGTATACAGTATTCAGGGTACTATACTCACAACCTAACATGCAAAGCTGTGACAAAAATCTCATTGCACTTGGAGAAGGATTATATTAGGAGTACCAGCACAAAGTCTAAAAAATACTCATTGGGCAGTCTATGAAAAAAGACTTGCTTATGTAAGGAAGGACAGACAGTATACATCCCTATATCCCACTATAAGTAAGAGGACCTAACAGGTAATAAGTGAAAAAAACTAATATAATGAAGAAAATTAATTCTATTACAAGTTTTCACTATGCTGTACACTAAAATAAACAAAATAGTTTTCATACAAAATATTTCATGAGACAAAATACAAAGCCCAAATAAAGAATATACTGTAACTACCCCTCGATTTACATAATTGACGTGTTCGTGAAGTTGTACACGTAACACGAAAAGATTTTTCCCATGCAGCAGATATATACGTGTTATAAATTGAGGATGTGTTCCAAAGCATTCACTGAAAATCACTTGTCTTTATGAACTTAACGATTATTTATATCCATAATTATGTGTACCAAAACCATAAAACATTGAATTTCACTTCTTAAGTGGTAGCTTTTCACTGCCTCTTGCTATCTGAACCACTTTTATCACTACTTATACACTTACTTCTCATTTTTTATAACAGTTATGAAGTTTGAAAGCAATATAAAAATGTTCCACAAGCAAATGCAGTTGTGAAACAAAGTCTGACTGAACAATCTACTGTCAAGCTTCCCAAAGCTTCAGATACACATCTCTCTCATCCCCACACTGCAAGATTCACTAAGCACATTGTGTTGGTGGTTGCAGTAACTGAGAAAGCATGAGAAAATTTTCAGTGATTTTTCTGGTTCACAGTTCAATATAAAATCCCAATAAGGCGAATTCACACAAGTCGAAAGCGTGCATTTCGACGGTTAACTGTATTACCAAGACCATGGAAACGAAATCAGTAGAGTTCTTCTATTAAACAATCACAACACACCAGCAAGATCATGCCATCACCTGGAACACCACCCAAACTTAACTAAAAGAACTGAAGATGACTATTTTTTGTGCTCATGGAAACTTATAAATGATCTGAGGTCTACTTAATGCATATCACAGGAATATTAATGATTGTGTAGGCACAAAGCCATCGACTCAAAAGTGGATGTATATAAACAATAAATAATGTATACAAGTATTTATATATTATTGATAATATGTTCCTTGTGAACACCTGATAATGAAGACAGACCATAGTAAGAAAGTACAAACACAGTTGAGGAATTTATCACAGGTTCACAACGTGCAAATTTTCCCTATGAAGTCTATCCCTGCCTAAGTCTTTTATACATTTCAGATGTAGCTTTCTTACTTCACTTCACCTTGCCACAGTAGCACATCCACATCTTGCTTCATTATGCATCCACATCCCTGACATACAGCAATCCATTTACTCATTTTATCCCTCATAAATGTTTTACCTCAGGTACAGTTGTAGAGAATGAAGTAAAGCTAATGGAATGGAAGAGTGTAAATCCTGAACAGGTAAACTGGACAATTTCTGAGAATATTTGTATGAGGAATGGCAACTGGAAAATCAGTTACAGTATATTAAACATACATGTAATAAAGGATCATCTAGGCAATGTTCAACCAATATCAGACTAAAGAGAAGATTCACACAAGATAATAAAAAAGTTTAGTAATAGACATTCATAAGATTCCTCGTTACTCTTCCCTCCAAGTTTAAGTACAAACAAGATTTAGTCTAAGAAAACTTCATGCTTGATAGTACAAAACAGGACCAGCCAGAGGGACATTTTTTTGTGGGTGGGTCATTAATATAACCCAAACCAGTATACCTTATCAGGTAACTATGACTAAACCACAAACAGGCATGGAAAACGACCATACAACAATGATGATGAGTTTAACTTATCATACCATCACCTGTCTGAAACTGCCTCATATATTGCCTTTATCACCCTCATAGCTAAGGCCATTCTGAGCCCCTATACCTTGCTTTAGTTGACACTGAATCCGTGTGTCTCATCGTCACTGGGACACCACTGGATGTTCCACTTACTAAAATTTGTTCCTTTGGCATCCTGGCTGATACTTACTGACATTCCCTTGGCCACCAGCACTGACTATAACAAGTCACACTAGTAATGCCTTGAACAGCTGCATCATGATTACCACCACCTTGGTTGAACAGCTGCACCAGGACAAACACCACTTTAGTTGAACAGCTGCACCATGACTAACACCCCCTAGGTTGAACAGCTGCACCAGGACAAACACTACCTTGGTTAAACAGCTGCACCAGGACTAACACCCCCTGGGTTGAACAGCTGCACCATGACTAACACCACTTTGGTTGAACAGCTGCACCATGACTAACACCACCTTGGTTGAACAGCTGCACCATGACTAACACCACCTTGGTTGAACAGCTGCACCATGACTTACACCACCTTTGTTGAACAGCTGCACCATCACTTACTCCACCTTGGTTGAATGGCTGCACCATGACTACCACCACCTTGACAGGCCACAGCCAGTTAGAATTACCATTAGCAACCTAACTGGAAGTAGAAGACAAGTCCATAACCTGGACATGAACACCTGCAATAACATAGGTCTGACTCAGGTCACTCAAAGAGCATCATAATAATTAGCACATCACAGAGACTGCAGCAATGGGCCAGGTGGCTTTACCAAACGTACTTACATCTGAGTAGCTGTCAACATCTGAATCACATACCTTAAGGAAAGTTTCCCTCTCTCCCCCCTCGCCTTCTTCTTCACCTTTGCACATTTTGTCTTCAGTTCCTGGTGTTATCTCCACCATGTCTTCCATTTCCACCTACCAGAAAATTAATATGACACCATCAGTACTTTATGACAAGTGCCGTGAGCTGGGAATTATTACTTACCGGTACCTATCCCATGTTAACTATTTCCAGGTGATCTTAATTCATTACTACAAATAAATACCCAAATACCATCTGGCATTACAAAACCTCAACACCACACACACACTACACACCACTCCTCACATCAATCCCCCAATACCACCTCCCAATCCATAACCTGACATCCAACACACTACATTTTAACTACCCTGTCCTTCACCAGCAACAAAAATAACATTACACCACTTTTCCCAAGTCTCATCAGCTCTTATAATTTACCCTATTCTCAATTTTTTTTTTATTTCTTATTCCTGTCATCCGTCTTCTTAAGAAATGTGACACCATTCAATCTTTATTACTATGCAATAATCAGCCTAATATCTTGCTACTTTAAGAATTAACAACTAAACAAGAAACACACACACAGTAACTTAAAAAGATAAAAAATTGGGTAAAAACAATTGAGTGACAACATTAGGTGGCAAAAGCAGTTCAGTTGGAATTATAACAACGGAAATATCAAATCAAATAAATATGTTTAATGAAAAAAAAGAAGACATGACATATACCTCGTCAATAGCAGCATCCTGGACAAGTGGTGTCAGGTCAACCTTAGTGTAGCTTATGGGGGTATTCTCCCAAGATGCTATGATGCGCTCTATATGCTCCCCTGGGTGATTGTGTGTGTTGCGCTGAAGACATACACTTTGATCTGCCTCCAACTCTCCAATATACACCTGACAAATTCAATAAATATTAAATACTTGAATCTCTTATTAGCTGTTAGTAAGCAAACTTAGTCAAATGTGTCATCAAGTATATCTAAAGCCATGGCTCTTGATAATAAAGACTCTGTGTAAGTACATGTGAAGAATCCAAAACATGAGTCAGACCCACGTTTCTAATATACTGTAACTTTGAGATTCTGATATAAAAAAACTAGCAGTAATCAAACGTAAAAGAATAATAAGATCATATAATACAATAGTTTGGATTACTTCCCCAGCAAGTTTGCACTACTGTACTACCAACAACTTGGTTTGAAAGCCCATTTCCATCATCATCTGGAGAACCACAGTAAGCCAATACATGAGACATCATTACTGGAGCAGACCATTAAAAGATAAAAAAAGGGGAGGGAGAAACAATAAACATTAATACTGTACTGTATTTCTTTCTATGTATTAAGTGTTTTAAAAAATCTGCTAAATGAACAACTCAGATGATGGGAAATATATACAGTACATATTCTTTTCTAAAATCATTAGATGCAATAATATGTAGAATAATTCACTTGATTATATAAAACCTAGGCTTATGAAGTCCATGAATGTCAGAATATTTAATATTATTATTAGTCGTAGACAGAAGTATTAGCAATAGTATAAATATTTTAATATCAGTAATATTTAGCTAAACTTTGTTCATTCCTTCCCTCATTTACCATCAGTAGACTAAGTGGGGTTCAGGTCCCAAAGCAACTTTATTATTCAATCTTCAATTTCCTTATAAGCAGAAGTAACTACGTATAAGAATAAATTTCTGATTGCTGGTAAGTATAATTATGTTTTTTGGTTTTTTGGTTTTTTTGGGGGGGGGAGGGGGGGGAGGAGTCTGGTGGCTTGCCCTCTAAACCCTGTTATCACTAAACCTCATCTAATCCATACTGTGAAGAATTCCACACTTACCACAAATCCTTGTTTTTTAGAGTAGCTGACAATCTCAGAGAAATGACTAATTTTATTATTCACACAATCCACGATGATGAAGGGGAAGAAGCCATCATCTACTTGTTTCTTGAAGGACTTCACCAGAGATGAACGGTAGCTTTCCTCTAGTTCTGCTTCATATTCGTACTCCATAATCTGGCAAGTGAACCAATAGTTATCATGTATTATCCTCACGCTTATAATAATTTTGTGATTCTCAAAATATTATGGATTAGGATTAAACTGCAGTGTGATCCATGCAGTACAGCATATTCTTATGCAATGAGAGATTGGCAAGATTTGGTCAAAGATGAATCAGCAGGTAAAATTAAACTCTACTAAACCAAAGAAGAATCACTAGTAATATAGTGACTCCTGGAAATGCCTTAGCTTCAATATCCTTTGAAGCATATAAGGAGAATGGCAACCCCATAATGAATGGGTTGGCATGGGTTGAGATAAACAGTTACTCTACCCAAACAATGACGTGATCTCTGTACATACCATCCCATACTCATATTCCTAGCTTTCTTTGTTATGCATCACTAATAATATACCTATTAATTAATAAGGCTCTGCTTTAAGGAGTACAATACTATAAAATTTGCATTGTCATCTTATCCTACTTCAGTACACTAAAAATAACCTAATTATTCATACCTTAGTCTTAACTTTCCTTCCTGTGTCTGTGTCAAGGGTCATCTTCTCTGTTTCCACCATGAAATAATCATCAAGAGTCAGGATGCGTGGTGGACTGCCTCCATTCTCTACTTCGCAATCCTGAAAATAAAACTCTGTGATACAATACATATTTTTTCTTGCTGTAAAAAAAGAAAAGAAGTCATTACAGTATATAAAATCTCTCTAACAGAGAGGCCTCCCCTTTCATTTCATTGAAATACAAAATGGTGAGAGTAACTTTTTTTTTTCACCTGGTATATCTTGCAGCACATATGGTGCCAACACCAAACTACAAAACCTGCCAATTTCACTATTTTCTGCACTGAACATACACAAGGACACTTCAAAACTCCTTTGAAAAAATCAAGAGCTCAAATCTTAATTTCCTTTGAAAATATGAAATTTCTCATAAATAAAATTTAAACTCACATTACAATGTAAGGAAAATTTAACTCCAAAATCAATTGGTAAACTATTATTAATTTACAACATGCCAACTACAGTATTGTACTACTGTAATTCCTTCTCTCCCTTCAGTAACTTACATCACACAAACAATCAATCTCCAATAAAACCCCACACTTGTTACAATTTCTTCTACTCCATCAATCAATTCAGCGCAGAAGTCTGTGTTCTACCCTCCCAGTTCCCCCAAACTTTAAGACTTCAAAAATTTAATTTCAACCACCAGAACTATGTTTGCATTTTTCGAAAAAAATTCAAATTCTCTAATAAAATAACTATGGTATATCACAAACAACCTGCCACAGTTAATAACTTCACATACTTTTATCATCTTGGCCATGGTGGTCTTGCCTGAGCCAGGTGGTCCACGCAGGACTATGGCTATTTTTGGGGGGCGCATGAATCGTCCTGGAGTGGAGACTAAATCATCGATGGTAACAACCTCCCCGGGTACCTCTGGTTCCTCAGGTATGAGTGGGGTAGGAGGCTCAGGAGTATCTCTGGAGGGGGCTGTCATTGGTCCCAGTCTGTGAGGATAATGAAAAATTCATGAGCTAATAAATATTTCAGGTACGTACTGTTTTGTGAAATCTTAACGGTGAACCAAAACTGCATCTGTCATGTGCCTATAAATACTCATACTGCATTTTTCCTGGCTCTATTTTATGAACCTGGCACCCCCACCCACTCACTCCTTCCCATTTCTTTGCCTCTGATCTCCCTAAGTCTTCTAAAACACTGATCTATCACACTGTGCATGCAATATTAAGGCACTGATTTTTACCTATATCCTCACCAGCTAGGCACTAACTGTTGTTACTACTATTCTCATGTCCAGCTACTAATGTAATGATATGTATCTTACGTCCTTACAAACCACACAATGACCCATCCTCATGTTAATCTCTTACTTTCTTTCCCTCCACTACTCTGTGGCTCACATCACTCACTGTACCACTCTCAAACACATCCACTTATAAATAATTAGAACAATGCAGTTCCTTCATTCCACCTCCATTCAAACTACCATTTAATTTTTTTCCTATCTCTTATATTTATTTAATTTCATCATGTTTATTTCCATTAAGTATTAATTTTCTCCAAGTATGCACTGTTTGTGAAGATAATGGTCAGAAGATCTGGTGCTCCACTGTCCAGCCCGCAAACGCAGCCTCAAAGGAGCTGGATAATTGTAAATGGATCTTGCAAGAGAGATACAAGAAAAAAAATTGACTTTCTAATGTGAGAGCTGCTGAATGTTTCAGGAAATTTGAGTAGCCCCCAAAAATAAAAGCATGCAACAATGAGGATGACCATTCACTCTGTCAACTGAAATAAAGTGGTGAGCCGAAGCCAGTTTCATAATGGGGTGGAACCGGCCAGTATACCATGGTGAGTGCTGATTGGTGGTCACCGATTATAATGAAAACTTCAGTAATACCTCACCTGGAAGATGGCATTGGCCTCAATGGTGAGCGGTCTCTCTCTTGATTGCCAGCTGGCCTTGATTGCCAGCCTGGTCTGTGCTCAAGTGCTGATGGAGGAGGTCCACGTAAATCTTCTCGGCCCATTCTATGATTACGGTCTCTACTTGTCTGGTCATGGGTGTCATGCCCCTGTTTGTAAACACATAGAAAAGTAAGTCAAGATACAGCACTGAACTAAAGTTACAGTTCTATACAGACTTTACCATAAAGTATCATGTGGAAGCAGAACACAGACATCCCTTACTTAACATTGCTTCACTCATCATAGTTTTATTTAATCGATAAATTGGAGAAAATATTCATAGAACTTAATCAATGATTCACTTTTACATAGTCCCAATAACTCCCAAACTCCCCATTTTGCCACTAAAGCTTAATATGCTGCCTCTTCATTTATCTCCAGCAAGTGTTGCAAATGTATTTTCTTCATTATATGCACATTTATTACTGTATATTTTTTATTCAGTTCTAGGGTGAATTTTTTTCCCCCCTCAAACATAAATTTATAACAAGGGAATTGCGGGAAAACTTTTCATGTAATGTAGTTCTTTCTTGAAATGCATCTTGAAATTACATTACACAAGGTAATGTAAAGAGGGAATAAAATATGTTGAGCTATACCACAAAAACCCTGAAGCAAAGTCCTATAACTGTAAGGTCAGAAATATGCTGTACAGGTCTCTTTGTTGTGAATACTAAAAACTATGTGCAAAGTTTAATAAAAAATCAACCAAGATTGAAAGGTACTAAAATATTAGTTATCATGACCTATTGCTGAATTGCTTCAGTACTCATCAAGGTGTATGCAAGAAAAGTTTCATGGCTGCTCAATGGCATTTGAGAAACGTTAGCTCATATGTATGCATGGACTTATGCACAGACATGGCTACACAATATGCCCCTCACACATTTTATATATAGCTAAAAATTCAAATATAGCCTTGATAAGTTATTCACATTCTTCATTAATGTATAACCCTGTTTACAGTCGGTATAAACAACTGTCTTCTACCCATACATTTTACTCTTGTAAACAATTATAAGAGGTACTGTACTGAGTCAGTGAAAAATACTGTCATAAATGTTGTGACACATTGTCAGCCCATATACAGTACATTTCAGACTCTTCAACTTCTTCATGGAACAATGGAACTATCCACTGCCATGACCTGGTACAGTACTGTAATGGGATTTACCTAGACTGAAAAAAAAAAAATAAAACTTTGCCGATGTTGATTACAGGTCCCTCCTACAGCTCCATTTCACCTGCTTAATGGTGGTAACCTAACCCAATACCCAAAATTCCCTCATTCACAACCTAAAAACAAATAAAATTAAGGTCACATAACTGTTTTCTGTACAACTTTCTTATAATATGGTCATGAATATTGTAATCATCTATGCACCAACATATCAAAGACTATTTCACCTAATATATTTACACTATCATTAGTACTGTTTTTACCTACTACAGAATACTTTTATGGCTATATTAAAACCCACCACATTAAAATTAAATCAAACAGTTAATAAACACAAATGAAGCCGAGGCACAAACCTGCATCTGGGAGTTAAATGGTGAACTAGAGTTTGGAAACGGCTTCATACCTAGAAAGGAATTTATACCAATTAAAAGAGAGTAAGAGGCAGGACTCAAGTAATGGACTTGGTTTATGATTATTATCACTTCTGAATGAATGTCCAAATACTAATTTATCAAGGTGTAAGGAATAAAAAGTTCAATAAGACAGAAATTCCAATATTATTACCCTTGTATATATTTTTTCTTAACCATAATATTTAATTCAAACCTTTTGGAAAATTTTGACAGGTTTGTAGTCATTGTTAAATACCACCTGGAGAAAAAAATCTTCAAACCGCCACAATCATTCTGTATAACACCCAGACATGTGTTATTTTTAGAGCAGTAATAGAGGTTCAAAGTTGGCATGATGCTGTTTTTGAGACATGTGTGTGTGTGTGTGCTTTTCAGTGTAATGAAGTTGTTTATTGTTTATCTGTGGAACTAAAAAGTGGTATCGCACTAACTTTGAACTCTTGACATGACCCTTACCATAAAATAAAAAATATAAATCAGCTATGTAATGGAGATATCTCCCTAATATATGAATTTTTCTGCATCTATAAGTTCAGGGAATCAATACTGCACACATTATTTTGCTAACTCTGAATCCCTTAAAAACGAAAAGGTGTTACTTGTGGCAGGTATCGTTGGTTACTACAGGTTAACCACATTTCTATTTTACAAATTTATGTTTTATGAAAGATTTTAGCATTTTCAACTTTAAATTTAATATTATTATTTTTTTTTTTAATTCTCAATTCACGAGATGAGAGTACAGTAAAGGTACTCCTCGACTTACAACAACCCAGACATGCGACCGCCGTGGTCGTATAAAATATTTTTCAAATTACGTATTTTCTAGTACCGACGTTAGTGATCGCGCTGTGTACTGACAAAATTTGCGTTTGTAATTCCCTTTAAAATGGCTGGCAAGCGTAAAAGTGAGAGTTCTCTTGGTGCTGAGAAAAAAAAGAGACAACCATTTTAGAATTTCCATGTATTATTTTCGCCTTTTCGACTTACGACCTGGTCATCGGGACGGAGCCCCGTCGTAAGTCGAGGAGAGACTGTTGTAGTGGACGTCTCCTACACTGTATATAAATGAGGAGAAATTGGATAACCAGCATCTGGCTCAGTGACTGTGTGTGTGGGGGTGTGAGTGATGAGTCAACTTATTTTGAAATGAGTGAAGAGAATGTTATATAGTGATTATAGGAGAATTATGAGACTGAATGCTTATCTGTAGACTTAATAACATTGAGTGTTATAAAATAATTATGTAAGTTAGTGTACAGGTATTTGCAGAAAATATGGTTTATCACATGATAGTATCTACTTTATGTGTACTGTAATTATCCATTTTACAGAAGTCTCTTGGTCTCAAGTAGAACCTCTCCCTTTCTTCCATCCTTCACTCCCAACATTTAACATGATCTGTATATTTTGTGACTGTCCACTATTATACTCTAACACACAATTCCACTGTCATAAATTACTATCTCATACAAAAAAGACAATACGTCAACTTACCCGAAGTATTTCCACCATGTGCATAATCAACAACTGCTGGCTGATCCACTGACGGCTTGTTCTGGTCATAAGGTTCCCGGCTGTGTGGTTCCTCAGACCCTCGGCCATAAGGATCTCTCCTGTCCCTCTCGTAACGATCACGAGAGTCCATGTTGTAGTCTGGATCATTCCTGTCGTATGAACTCCTGGAGGAATAAGCATCTTGGTAATAAGGATCTCGGCCATATGGATCTCTGTCATAACCCATCCGGTCTAAGTGATCCCTTGAAGTCCTGTTGTACTCATCGCCATAATAACGTTCGTCCCACTTATAATGATCGTCTCCCCTTCTGTTGTTGTAATAATCCCATCGCTGTCGGTAATAATCATCGCCGTACCATTCATCGCCATATTGACCGTCCGTGCGTCTTTCAGAGTAACGAGGATCATCTCGTGGGTAGTCCCAGAGAGTACCTCTGCGGTCATCTGGATATTGTGAATCAAATCCAAATCGGTCACGTCTCTGTTCATCATTAAACCTGAAGAACAACAAGAAACAAGAAATATTAGCTATGAGAAATTACATGAACTCGCTTCTTTATTTACTCCCTTTGACAACAAACTTATTTATTTACACATTTCACAAGATAAAGTAAGTATTAATTTGGAAGTACAGTACATTAATAAAGATGTATAAACAATATATTTTTTAGATGCCACAAGGGAGAACAAGAAAGGTTACAAAAAACAAAACATTACTAATAAAAGACAGAAAACACTCACCTTGCCATTTCATGAGCAAAACTCTCTGAGAGGCCATAAGACGAAGACAGGCGTCCACGGTCCGCATCCCAGTTGTCTCTGTCATGTGACTGTGAAGAACAAAAGCACATTTATATGCATGAAAAATAAATCATGAACAATTTTCATCCAAGCATTTATTAATCCTGGTATTTAATCTACTGTATAAGGCTTCTTCCACAACACTCTAGTATGTACTTCTCATTACCCTTAATATAAAATGAACTGATATATGATTTAGTGAGGAAATTCTAGATAAGTTTCCTATTCTCTTAATAAAAACTTCAATTCTTACACTTGTTCCATGCTATAATCTTCCCGGGTGATCCATTAAATAAAAAAGTACATATTTCTATACTGTACTGTATTGTATTTCCCATTCACTTGGCATTAAATAACTGTCTTTTCTTAATTTTACTGAATATGCAGGTATGTATGATGGACAGGAAATAATTATTATGAAAATCTATGGTATACATTAGGTTTAGTGATGGAGCAGACCAATGAAGAATATGGGTACAGGTAACAAATAAACAGTTTGTAATTAATAATATGCATAAATTTTTAACTAATTATTTAGTTACTCTTGTTTGAAATAATATTCTTTACAAAGGGAAAATGTTCTCAAGTCCATTAATTTGATTCAAAACATTTTCAAAACGTTTATCCTTTTAAAAATAACAGTATTAACCTTGCCTCTGAGATCCCCATTTATAGTTCCATTTTGCCTGGTTACATGTTATTCCCTACTTGTAACTTATATTAACAGTTCCTCATACACTCTCACCTCCTCAGTCTATCTTTTATAATCTTACATTGAGTCCAGGTTGTCCTAATTTAAACAGTTTTCACAAGAACCAAATTCACAACTACGGTATGTGATTTATTTTTTAACGCACAAATTTTGCTTATACCAAGCTAAGATTTCCAGGTATACAGATGTGCATAATGTTTTTCATCTTCCCTGTATGTAACGCAATAAACGCATCATGAAAAAACATCTTGAACACTACGTCCCACAAGTACACCACCAGAGTGCAAGCCCTTACTCATACATTGTTCCCAGAATCCCTGGGCTTTAAAGGGTCTTTGTCCATACCCTTACCTGTTCACTAGCAGGTCAATATGAAAGCCTGGTTAACAGCATAAGTTTTGAGGAGTGTTTTGTGAACTGATAAACATAGGAAAAAACTGGGTACAGAAAAATGTGACGTATGCCTTCATGGTATGCATCTGAATGACTGGAAGAGAGCAAGATCTGTTGCAGCTGAAAATAAAAAGTATTGGAATGTTTCAAAAGCTGCTTTACTTCTAGTATACCCAGGTTGTATACCCATAGTCTACATCCCCTATACACACACATGCACCACAAAGACATGGGTTGTTCTGTCTGTCCCTCTTTATACAAAAATATATCCACTTCAATATCAAGAAGCCATAAAATGTCCCAAGTTGTATATAACACAAGCTACAATAATTTCATGGAACAAATGTCCCTAGCTCCCTCCTCCAGCAAGGCTAAAATTGTTAGTCATCTCCCCCTACTTTTGTCAGCACCCTCCTCCTATACTGTAGGTTGCTGAAAAAAAAAATTATTCACATTATTTCTTGTCATCTATTTATACTGTACTTACTGCTGTAGCTTCCCCATAAACTACCCAACAACATGTGTCCCCAAGAAATCTGGGTTTTTCCTACACTATACAATGAATTACCACAAAGTAATACCTGTCTATCTCTTTTAGCATCCTGCCACCTTGGCCCAGTCTGTGTATCACCCCCATGGTGTCCAAAGTCATCTCTCACTGATTCTCCAAACTCAGGTCTCTGTGGATCGCCAAAACTTCGTCTTGGTGGGCCTCCATAATCTGGTCGATCAGAATCACCAAATCCTTGTCGTGGAGGACCACCAAAATCTGATCTGGGTGGACCATTGAAACCTGGCCTTGGTGGACCCCCAAAATCTGGCCTTGGTGGACCCCCAAAATCTGGCCTTGGTGGACCACTAAAACCTGGTCTTGGTGGATTCTCAGCATCAAACCTTGGTGTACCCTGTAAATCTTGCTTTGGTTGTCTTCCAAGACCTGGCTTTTGGGCTTCATTAATATCCTGTGATAAAAAGACGCTTGATAATTAGAATGAAAATTAATTAAAAAGACAACAAACTTATTCTTGATGAGAGCTTCAAAGATGTGACGAATGGAGAGACAGACAGAAACTCTGATACATTTATTAACATGAAAGTTATCTACATAAGCTATTCAGATACTGGGATTGCCCTCGACATGATAAAGGGATAAACATCAAAGATTTTAAATATCCTTTATCCTAACTCATTTTCATGTACAGGGTAGAGCCTAAAATGTAAAAGAAATGTTATATGAGAGTTTACTATATCACCTGGACATCTTAGGCCAGTAGGAGAAAACTTGCAAAGAGAGAAATTATTGGACAATAAATATAATACCTAATTGCAACACAAACAGATGATTCCTGCTTTTGTGCAAACACAGTGTTTGAGTAACATACTCATGCACATCACCTTTCAATTTGAGTAAAAACATTTACAAGGCAATGTAAACCAACAACAAATGGTATAAGTAAATGTTTCAAAGACTTGTGAAACACAAATGTGCAGATTAGAGTAATGATGAAAATATTCAGACAAGTCAGTGGGCAATACATTAACAAATCACAAACTGAAAATCCACAGACTGGGCAGCAATTAATGTACTTAATATTATTATATCTTTAATGTACAAAATCATGTTAACATTAAGCAAAGATGGGGAGTGTGGTTTGGTAAGGACGTGACTGATCAAAGCTGATGTTACACATCATGCTGCCCCTGTCCTTTTGTATCATGTACAGTAAAGCTAATGATAATTTTCACTATCTGTTGTACCTGCAGTTCTACTTTACATTAAACTATAACCAGAGTAGTAGCAGTAGGCTTAATTTTTCCTTGATATCTTTCTCAGTACAAAGAGTAAAATACCTGAAGTGTAAATACTGTACATTTTTGTGATTTGTTGCACAAAACTGCACAAATTACAGCCCACAAATAGAAATTAGGGTCTGAATTGATTCACTGTGGTATTTCAAAGTTGCAAACAGTGGATACCACAGAAGTTGAGTGTTATATACTGTATTAGAACACAAAATTTTATACAAATAAAATAATCCAAGAACCACTGATACTACAAGTGACAGTAATCACACAAACACTCCACAACTCACCCCAGGCTTTTCATTCAGCTGGGAGCTGTCTGTTTTTCCTTCTTCAGTTTTAACCCCTCCCTCTTCACCCTCAGCTTCTTTACGTTCACTATCTTCCTCATCGTCATACCAATCTCCTGGAAGTGTAAATTTTTCATGCTTTTGTGGGGGTACCCCTATTGGTCCAATCTTCAGTGGCACGGCTCCAAGTTTAACATCTGTAAGTAACAACCACATACGGAGTAGACTACATCACTTAGTCAATAGACCCTGATTACAAAAGGCTTTCATTCCTGAAAACCTTTCATAAATACATATTTTTTTTTGTACATCATAGCACATATTCCCATAGACTCCCATTATAAAAATTCAGGGTTTTCACATAGGAGATTTTTTTTTCTCATAACTATGAAGTTTCATAAATCAAATCCTTGTAAATATGGGCCTGCCCGTATATAATAATACAGTAATAATTACAATAATAATAATAATAATGTTAATACAGTGGTCCCTCAGTTTACGAACACAATTCGTTCCACAGAGTCTTCGTTAACCGGAAATTTTCGTTAACCGAATCCATTGTTTCAATGGGATATTGGGTAATTGGTTCCACCTCACAGAAAAGTACATACAAAGTAAAAAAAAAAAATGCAGTAAAGTACACTTATTTTGAGGTGTGTATGTAGAAGGTTCCTGGTTGATGATGATGATGGGAATTACAAGTGGGAGTGGAGGAGAAGGGAGAAGAGAAGGAAGTGGGGATGGAGAAGGGAGAAGAGAAGGAAGAGGGGATGGAGGAGAAATCACCTTTCAGGGGACCCATGCTTGATGCAATAATTTCACCAATAAAATTTTAAGTTCACTAGGTGTAATTCAAGATTATTTTATTTAAATCAACACTGCACTGTGCTATATATTATCAATATGTTAACTAAATTTCTAAATGACCAATAATTTCAATGTAAAAATGCAAAAATATTCAAGAGAACAACAAATCATGTTCACTCCACTGTCAACAAAGCCAAACCAATGGGCGCACAAAAAACTAGTTCCCTGTACAGTGAACCCCCACTTTACGCGGTTAATTCAACCCACAGGGTACCGCGGAAAGTGAGAAACGCGTAAAGTGAAAAACATAACATATGGGATTAATTAAAATAGAGACCAGGCCGACCCCCAAACTCCACTTTTTCAGACACAATACCTACGTTGTAGTAAAAATAACTTCTTAATTTTATGATGGTATGCACACACAATTAATAATTAAGAGAAATATCAATAATATTAGGTTTTTTAACACTTACATTAGTATAAAAGATGGCTGGGCACACGGGGATGGGGGGTTGGTTCCGAGGCAGAGGGCAGATTATTGACCCTCACTTGTATCACTATCCACCACAGAGGCTTGCAGGGCCTCTTTGTCAAACCCCTCAAAGTCCATATCCTCACTATAATTATCACTATCACTGACTTGGGCCAGCTGTGGGGGTGGCGGGTGAAGAACTCGGTAATGTTTTGATGACTGGGCGACCTTGTGAGCACCCTGCTCGCACCGCTTAGACAACATGGCGGATGGCGGGAGAGGGCGGAAGAGATGGCGGGAGGTTTGGATCCAAAAATGGCGCGGCTCGCCAGCCGCTCTCCGCGTAAAGGGGTACACGCACCGCGGAATGTGAGCATTCCGGTTTCGGCAGGGTACCGCGTAAACGTGGAAACGCGGAATGTGGGACCGCGTAAAGCGAGGGTTGACTGTACTGCATATATTATCAATATGTTAACTAAATTTTAAAATGACTAATAATTTTAATATAAAAAATGCAAAAATGTTAAAGAGCACAACTTTCTTGATATTTGCTCCACTGGAAACAAATGTAAACATGGAACATATTACTGAATTGGCAGACAAGCCCATCAGCTGATGCTCACAACAAAACGTGTTGTTCGTAAGGATTTCGTTAATCGAAGTTTTGTTCGTTACCCGATTGAAGATCCTTATGGGAGGTAATTCGTTAACAGAAATTTTGTTAATCGAACCGTTCGTTAACCGAGGGACCACTGTAATAATAATGGCTGGTCTTTTGTTTCTCAAAAGCACCAGTTCTTCTAATGAATTCATTAGCATTTGAAAAACTACTAAGTCAAAGACTTGAGAATAAAAAGAAATACTGTACTGCACTACAGTACAGTACTGTACAATGAAAGATCACAAAAAGTGACAGTTCAACTTATATCATTCATATTATACTAAGCTTTTATTCAATAAATTATAGTTGGAAAGCGGTGTTCATTATTCATTAACCACATCATTTATCAATTACAAACATCCAGGATGTAGATGTTCGATGAGATGAGGAAATAAATGATCAGTACTGGAATGAAGATTCTGTACATGTAAGAATTATTGAGGAGAGTGCACAGCTGATGACACAACAGGTAGTTTTTGGTGAAGACATGAAGAATACAGTACAAGACAGGGATACGCTGCCATATTACATTCAACTTACCAATCTTTTCATCCTCCTGGTCATGGAACACAGTCTTTGTACCTGGATCCTTCGTCTCTTTACTTTTTTCTTTTCCTTTCTCATCCTTTGGTGGTTCCTCAGTGAGATCCAACCCAGGAATCCCAGCAGATCCTTGAACACCCACCCCAAAACCTTGCTGATCTTGTGCTCTCTGTCTGTCATCTGCCAATAATAAAAATATGTTCATTTGTTAAAATCATCCACATTCCCCCCTCCCTCCATCACTGAATATCACATCAAATAAAATATTCAAACATAGGTTTGAGAATCATTCTACTGTACATGATTCAGACACTTATCTATAATGCCACACTTGAGAAAGAGACAACCACTGAGAGTTCAGCTGCAGCACCACTCTCTCTCTCTCCATCATATTTAGGAAATTTTCAAAGACTTAGATCTATTCACATCAACCCAAGATTCCAGTACCTTGTAAGTCATCTAAGAAATGAAAGCACATGTCTGAACAAACAACTTAGTGCTGGCTAGGTTAGGTTAGGTTGAGCTGCCACAGAACAGACCTTAACATTGATTTGTCATTGGTATCATTAAGTTATGCCTTACTATACTACAGGAGCTGCAAAAATCCCAAAACTGCATAAAGCTCTTTTTCCAGACAAGAAAAACTGTAGCTCTTAATGGAATACTGAAATTTCTCAGCTGGAAAACCAACCAACCCAGTTCAAGCCTCTAAATGGAGACTTAGCACTGAAATTCAGACAGACGAAACCATAAAGTTTTCTAAATTTGCTAAGAAATTCCTATATCTTTCCCAATTTGCTGGGAAATCTGCTCAACTCTGACTGATGTTAATCTTTGGTTATCATAGCTATGCTTCCTCAGGCAGACCCAGAACAGGCCAATTATCTAAATACCCGTATATAAAATATTAAGGACAGACCATTCCTTTTCTATGCACTAAGCCTAACATGCCAAATGACTACTTGAAGATTCTCAAAAGGAACTGACTAACAATTGCAACTTTTTCACAAACTAAATGTCAGGAACTTATAAAAACTCCAATGAACAGGAAACTTCATTTCAGATAACACCCACTCAGTTAACAGAGATACACCAAAGACTCACCTTAAGCTCCATCTCACCTGGTAAATAGTAATCATCCTTAACTTGGCACCAGGAACATATATTTTAACCACTACAAGAAAATATTACCTGTACACAATTCCCCTGAGGCCTTTACTAAACAAAACAGTCTGGAAGTCAACTGATACCTTATCTCTGAATAGGATTCTAAGGCAACATCCAGCCAAATAATCCCTTGGGTTTTCAGAATCTCTGAACCTCAGTACCAGATGTTCTGTTTGGCTTTTTTTTATCTTCAACTGTAAACTTTTCAGGCATTAATTTTAAGGACCACTGGGTCCGAGTCTAAACCCCTCTATAAAAGGGTAGATAGTTGCCAACTGAGAAATTCCTATTCACTGTCATCAAACAACTCCACTCAACCACCAACAAAGATGGAAGTAAAGCAGATGATATTGTTCAAACTGGTGTTTCTGTGGCTAATTTCATGGTGTTATTTCTGTATCAATGCATTAATTTTCATTGTTTTAGTTCTAATTGTCTTCACAGCATACTGTACATTTTACCAGAATTATATTTAATTAAGTTACTATGATTGCCAACTCAGGTGTCTGTATTATTACCTCTATTCCAACCAGGTGCTCCTTCACTCCTGTTACGATTATTCTCACAGTTGTCCATCCAGTCAAAGCCCCGGCCACCACCTCGTCCTCTACCTCTGCCACGATCTGCCAATAATCATGCACCAATGATAAAGCAAACACCCTTCATTACTGGGTATTCCACAAGAAGTTTTCATCAATTAATTTAATAGTTTGAAAATAACTACTCAATGGCTTAAAAGAATTAAACAATCATATTTACTGGTATTTTAAGCACGTTTAAAGGTTAAATAATTTAAACTTCAAAACTTCTGCTATAGGGTAAATGGGAGGTCACATTTAACATGATTACCCCTATTCTTTAAGAATGAACTGATAAAGAATCATACATTTATAAATCACTTGAAGAATTAATGAAAGCAGTTAAACGTGTGTAGAAATACCCAGACAGTATTTCATCTATTACACGATATGGGTAATAATTGAGCTATGCTCAGATCTCTAAACTACTTATGTAATGCACATTTAGAATTTTTCTATCATTTATGGTTCAAATTTATTTTCCATGTACAGTAATCAGGATTCAAAGCTGTGACCCGTGTATAGCTCGGTAAATCAAACTCTCCATTGTTATTTAAACTCTATATTGACAACAAATGAAAAACAACATATGATGGTGCACATAAATTTTTCACTGTAAACATGGAAATTAAGGCCACAATCACAATACAGTTTTGCAATGGGATAAATCACACAATAATGACTATTCAAATAACAATTCACACTGTATGGAATCCATGCTGCCACTGTACACTGTCAAGTTGGCATTCACTGTCGGGCTTTACACTGTACTGAATCCAAGCTGCTCTTGTGGAGTTGAGAGGACATCCACTGTGGTGCTGCTACAACCCAGATCTCGCCAGCACACCAGGGGCTTACACTAACACTCACTGTCATGGGTAATGTTAATTGGGGAGCCAGTGCTGACAGACACTGATTTTGGTAATGTCTCAGCATTTTCTTAGCTGGATCCACTGATTAGTTTCACTATCTGGTGACGTGCTTGACTAAGTGGTGGTGTCAATGGGTGATACACTAGACTCTGCTATTTTAGCTACTTAACCCTTTCATTGCTCTAAGCCATAATCGTGGTGTGACATTGGATAGTTGTCAAAGCCACAATCGTGGCTAATTTTTTAATCCTCATATGTGGTTACTTTAAGCTACTGCACCATTATTAATGTGAATACAGGCAGTATATTTATTGTTTAGGTATCCCGGCATATTTATTAAAAAGTTACCAAGAGAAACAGGTAAATCTAATGACTTTTATTTTTTGATGATTTGGGTAAAATAAATGTGATTGGGGCAGCACCTACCACAGAAGTAATGCACAGTGAAAGGGTTACAAGTCTAATGGAGTCACATGAGGTAAGCAGAGATTGACCATTTTACAGGGGGTTCTGCACAACACTGCTCCTGCCCGTGTTGACAACCATCTGGCTTTGCTCCACATTGAGTTCTCACATGAACTTGGGTATACTTAGCCAAAGATTTAAGCCCCCAAAACTGGTTCACTGAGTCCTATACACTGTGGACCCAAACCCTAACAGCAGCTAGCTCATCAACTCATGGGTTAAGTGAAAATGCTACTGAAGTTAGGTGAAGTGAGGTAAAATCAGGTTAAACTTCATATCAGTTCAGGGTACATCAGGGCCTCACAACAGGAGTCTGTTGGAAAAGCCTACTACTAAAGGTTCTTTGATGACACAAAAAACTAGACCCAAGATTAGAGTCCTTGTACCTCCTTATTCATCCTGGGTGACATAACAAATCTTGGTTCTCAAAGGAGCCAAGAAGCAGCAGTGAAGTGAGAAGGTCCAAATCAAACCAAGCTAATGGTGTTGTATAAAGACTAATGATGTGATGTACACATCCCTATGAGACTCTGTACTCTTGGAGATGAGGACAGGTGTTACCCAGACAAGGGTGGTGGTTGTGTTGTTATAAAGTTGTGTGTAATTTACACCCACCAGATGCCTCTCTCCGCTGACCTAAGGGTTGATGATGGTTTGTGTGTACAATCCAGCCTCCCTGGACCAGCACTGAATAGTGGTCTTGTTAGGTTGGTGTGGACTTAACAGTGGTGACACCTCAGAGTTGGCACACAGCTTTGTAGTGCCCCACACACACATTGCTCCACTCTTTTTAAGAATAACTTCAAAGATTACTAGAGTATAGAGTTAAAATAATGACACATCAAGAAAATGACTCATACCATCAGCTAGATCATGATAAATTTTTAAACCAATGGAGAAAGGAAGGCTTAAGAATAGTGTTTAAATGAAGGTGCTTGCAGTTTCATACAATGGATAAGTTTTCATATACATTTTTGAGTGAAAAGTAGTTAAACCCAGAAGTATTGGTCACTCACCAGATGAGCCAAAACCTCCACGGCCCCGCTCACTGCCTCTGCCTCGTCCACCCCATCTGCAGGAGAATAGTGTAACCTTTCAGTCCTAATAAGGTGTATCATCAATCATTTCCTTTAGTAATTTTGGTAGACTAAAATATCAATTTCTTAAATAATAAACCCAATTCATGTTTGTTTTATGTACAGTATATTTGATAACCTGAAACACCTTCACTCTCAAGCAATTAAGATTTGAGGCCTTACTGTATAGTATACCGCATATATAATCAGGTTTGACAACCATGACCTCGAACGATCAATGAAGAACACTGTTGTGAATTATCAATCTTTAGACTAGTTAAGTGATTCATGTTTCATTATAAATTTTTAAGCACAACTGATGCTATGAGCATGAGCAGGTAAAAATGACCATAAATAATAGCATCCAAAACCTAACTCTTACTCTTACTTTACTAAATGGAAAAGGTGTTATGTCTCCAATGAATGACTAATCTCTACAATAGCAAAACATTTTTTGAGTTTAAACATGAACTTTAGTTTACAATTCATGACATAAGCCTAAATTCTACAGTTTTTATATATATCATTATTATTTATCAGTTTCATCATTACACAAAACCTGCATTTTATTGCCTAGCTCAACAGTCAGGCCTGGCTTCTGAATGGGCCTATATATATGAACTGCAGTGTCATCAAACCTGTCATTATTTGTCCTCCAGTCCATGTCGTCTTGCATTACATCAAACTTTCTCTTGCCATCTTCTTGCCAATCTCCTGGTCTTCTCTCATTAAATCCATCACTATCGCGTCCGTCTCGACCTCGGCCATCTTGCCCACCTCTACCTCGACCTCTGCCATCGTGACCGCCTCGGCCTCTAATGCCTTGATCACTTCCGCCTCGGCCTCTCCTGCCAGCTTGATCATTTTCACCTCGGCCAACTTCATCAATGCCACCACGACTGAAGCTGTTAAAATTGTTTACCCCACGATCTTGTTCACTTTGGTTAAAGCCTCCTCGGCCCCACCCACTTGAGTCACGGCCTCCTCGACCCTGTCTATATGGATCAAAATCCCCTCGACCTCGCCCGCTTGAGTCATTGCTTCCTCGACCCCATCCACTTGAATCGGTGCCTCCTCGACCCCGACCACTTGAGTCATTATTTCCTCGACCCCATCCACTTGAATCAGTGCCTCCTCGACCCCGACCACTTGAGTCATTATTTCCTAGACCCCATCCACTTGAATCGGTGCTTCCTCGACCCCGACCACTTGAGTCATTATTTCCTCGACCCCATCCACTTGAATCAGTGCCTCCTCGACCCCGACCACTCGAGTCAATATTTCCTTGAGCCCATCCACTTGAATCGGTGCCTCCTCGACCCCGACCACGTGAGTCATTATTTCCTCGACCCCGACCACCTGAATCAGTGCCTCCTCGACCACTACCACTCGAGTCATTATTTCCTCGACCTCGTCCACTCAAGTCATTACTTCCTCGACCACGTCCACTTGGATCGAAGCCTCCTCTACCCTGACAACTTTGGTCAAAGCCTCCTCGACCCCGGCCACTTTGGTCAAAGCCTCCTCTACCCCTACCACTTCGATCAAAACCACCTCTACCTCGGCCACTTGGGTCAAAACCTCCTTGATTCCATCTACCTTGATCAAGCGCCCCTGAAACTCTGTCATCTTGATCTTGCATCCCTTTTTCTAATTCCAGTCCACTCTGATCAAGTCTTTCTTCACCAAATTCCTTATTGTCAAATGCACCTCGTCCTTGACCTCTTTGACTAAAACCTCCTCTATTAAGATTTCCTTGCTCAAGAAACCCTCTTATCTCCTTATCAATTGATTTTCCTCTTTCATTCATTCCTGTGTTTCTCTCATCTTTATCTAATCCTCCCTGTACACGTTCGTCTTTGTCACATACATTTTGTTCGTCTTTATCTGGCATTCCCAGACTTTTTTTGTCATTATCCTGTCCTTCTGGACCTTGTGATAGATTTCTGAAATTGCGTCCTTGTCCTGGAGTAGATCCCTGACCAGATGGATCAAATCTTTCACGGCCACGGCCAAATCGATCGAACTCTCTTGACATACCTCTTCCTTGTTCATGAGAAAATCCACCTCTACCACCTTCTCTCTGGTTCCCTCGATCAGATTCTCTCTGATTGACTGATCCTCTTCCTCTACCTCCAGCAAGTTCTCCTCTACCTCCAACAAGTTCTCCTCTACCTCCAGCAAGTTCTCCTCTACCTCCAGCAAGTTCTCCTCTACCTCCAGCAAGTTCTCCTCTACCTCCAGCAAGTTCTCCTCTACCTCCAGCAAGTTCTCCTCTACCTCCAGCAAGTTCTCCTCTACCTCCAGCAAGTTCTCCTCTACCTTGGTTGAAATTATTGAACCCTCGCATAGATCCCCCTTGCACCAATCCTTGACTGAATGTGTCTCTGTTTCGATCTTGGTTAACATCCTGAGAGTCTAGACCTTGATTAAAACCCCAACGGTCCTGTCCTTTTATGGAGTCACCACGCCCTCGTCCCTGGTTAAAGCCTCCTCTATCTCGGTTGAAACCACCTCGACTATCTTGATTGAAACCTCGATCTTGATTGTTGCCACCACGACCCTGTCCCTGGTTTGAATTGCCTAGATCCTGGTTGAAGACACCACGACCTTGTCCTTGGTTGAAACCTCCTCGATCTTGATTAAAACCACTCTGAGATTGTCCTTGATTGAATCCACCACGTCCTAGTCCTTGGTTGAAACCTCCTCGGTCATTGTTAAAGCTGCCTCGACCTTGCCTTTCACTAAATCCTCTCCAGTCTCGGTTCAAATTACCACGGTCCTCTCCTTGATTTAACCCTCTTTCCTGGCCGAAACCACCTTGCTCTGTCCCTCGACTGAAACCACCCCGGTCTAGTCCTTGGTCCAAACCCCATCGGCTCTCTCCCTTGTTTAAATTTCTTTGGGTTTGATCTGATGTGAATCCTCCACGCTCCTGAATCTGACCAAACCCTGATCGACCTTGAAATCCAGGTCGACCTTGATCTTGACCAAATCCTCCTCGACTCTGATCTTGTCCAAATCTTCCTCGACCTTGACCCTGTCTAAATCCTCCAAGACCTTGATCCTGTCCAAATCCTGGTCGACCTAGATCATGGCCAAGTCCTGGTTGGTTTTTATCCTGTCCAAATCCTGGTCGGCCTTGATCCTGGCCAAGTCCTGGTTGGCCTTTATCCTGTCCAAATCCTGGTCGACCTTGATCCTGTCCGAGTCCTGGTTGGTCTTTATCCTGTCCAAGTCCTGGTTGGCCTTGATCCTGTCCAAGTCCTGGTTGGCCTTTATCCTGTCCAAGTAATGGTTGGCCTTTATCCTGTCCAAGTAATGGTTGGCCTTTATCCTGTCCAAGTAATGGTTGGCCTTTATCCTGTCCAAGTAATGGCTGGCCTTTATCCTGTCCAAGTAATGGCTGGCCTTTATCCTGTCCAAATCCAAGTCGGCCTTGATCCTGTCCAAATCCTGGTCTGTTTTTATCCATTCCAAATCCAGGCCGGCCTTGATCCTGTCCAAATCCAGGTCGGCCTTGATCCTGTCCAAACCCTGGTCGGTCTTGATTCTGTCCAAATCCTGGTCGACCTTGATCCTGTCCAAATCCAGGTCGGCCTTGATCCAGTCCGAACCCAGGTCGGCCTTGATTCTGTCCAAATCCTGGTCGGCCTTTATCCTGTCCAAATCCAGGTTGGGCTTCATCCTGACCAAATCCTGGTCGGCCTCGATCTTGTCCAAATCCTAATCGTCCTTGTTCCTGTCCAAATCCTGGTCGAACTTGTTCCTGTCCAAATCCTGGTAGGCCTTGATCCTGCCCAAATCCTGGTCGGCTTTGTTCCTGTCCAAATCCTGGTCGACCTTGATCCTTTACATTTCCAAATCCTGGTCGGCCTTGATCCTGTCCAAATCCTGGTCGGCCTTGATCCTGTCCAAATCCAGGTCGGCCTTGATTTTGTCCAAATCCAGGTCGGACTTGATCCTGTCCAAATCCAGGTTGTCCTTTATTTTGACCAAATCCAGGTTGGCCTTGGTTTTGTCCAAACCCTGGCGGGCCTTGATTCTGTCCAAACCCTGGCGGGCCTTGATTCTGTCCAAACCCTGGTCGGCCTTGATTTTGTCCAAATCCTGGTGGGCCTTGATTCTGTCCAAACCCTGGTCGACCTTGATTCTGTCCAAATCCCGGTGGGCCTTGATTCTGTCCAAATCCTGGTGGGCATTGATCTAGTCCAAATCCTCCACGACTTTGATCTTGCCCAAATCCACCTATACCCTGTACTGGATTGAAATCTCTTCCTCTTGCCTGATCAGGTCTTCCACTGTCTGCTTGTCCACCACTGCTTTGTCCTTTATCCTGTAGAAAACACATAAGCTTAGTATTATTAAAGTTTGCAATTAAAAGTGCGAATGTTCCTCTGTTATGCCAAATATACAAACAAGATTAATGTATTATTCCCAGCTGAATAACTGGGGTTGTATCACAACCCCACAAAAAGATACATGACCAGAATGAATGAAGGCAAGAATACTTATCAAAGATTCTAAATCAGAAAGAATGGATGTGATTGGGAGTAAACGAAACTCCTCTCTCGCAAACACAAGTTTGCAAGGAGCCATGAACAGAGGAAAGACGAATGGATGGGGATTAGAGGCAAGATGCATGGTTAGGTATGGGCAAAAAATTTTAAGATACAGTATTGGATTACGATGTGTAAGCCCACTTGTTTGCTCCATAAGTTTTTGAGACTGACAGGGAAAGATTGTATCAGTGTGTTTACAGTACAGTACAGGTATATGGAATACAGAATAATGATAAAGCCCATAGCTTTGCTGCTATGAATAAGAGACTTTTAGGAGGAGATGAAAGCAATGATAATGTCCCAGAACTTATCAAATTAGTGTTTAACAAGTTTTGAAAGGAAAAGTAAGAGATTTGGGAAAGGCAGATATCAAGGGAAAACAGTGAAAGTCAAATGTATTTACTATTCTAGACAAAAACTCTCTATACATATACAGTAGTTAGGTACAAAGAAGCATTGTTTCTGGCCAATACCATTTTCCATAGGGCTGACATTAAAAAGCACACACACCAAAAATATTATTATCATGAATTTCGACTGCACAATTTACAAATATCTTCACTACCAGTACACATAAAATACTGTCTTCAATATACATATTACATAACAGTATTTACTACATGCATTGTTCACTAGTACACGCTATATACCTGTACAACTGTATCCTCTTCAACACTACTAGATACCTACTTGAGACCATGGCCAATTGCTGCCCTGCCAGTTGTTGTCATGTTCACTCTGGGTCTGTTTTGACCAGTCACCTTGTTCTCTCTGATTCATGTTTTTCAAATCACTCAGCCCCACAGGCTTCTTTTGGTTATCACCAGGAGGAGGCTGATCTACAGGAATCGTGGCAGTTGTGGTGGAGGCAGCAGAAGTTGTGGAGGTGGTAGTGGTTGCAGCAGTGGTAGAGGTAACAGATGATGTGGAGTTACTGCCTGTGTCTGCAGCATCTCCTTTGTTTTGGACCTGCTGTGTTTTTACAAACTGCTCCAATTTTGTTTTACGAATATCTTCTCTTTTTGCCAGGAGTTCAGCTCGCCATCTAGACCAATCCTCTTCATACCTTTAAGAGGAAAAAAATAAAATAAACTATATATATATAAAATGTAGATCCACAATGGAAATGTGGATAAGATAAATCTTGACAAAATCACACAGGAAAAAGGGAAACAATGAACCTATGATAATTTACAATCATGGTTTTAGGTTTGTGATCTTACGATTTTTTATCCTTTTCCATCACTATGCACAACAATGTTTGCTCCTGGAGGGAGAAAAGAGCAGCATACTCCAACCAAATTCCCAAGTCATAAAGATGATGAATGCTTTTATAAATGTGTAAGTCTTTTATTTTCAACGAGGTCACCAGAACTGTGCTCATGCCCTGGTCTCGGCTGCAATTTCTGGGCTGGCGCCCTGGGTTTGTAGTGCTGAGTTGGGAGGGGAGGGGGGGGGGGTTCCCATTCTGAATTTCCCTATTAACTGCCATCAAGTAATTGCAGCTAATCCATGCAAGCGTGGAAAATGGCAATAAAATACTGATGATGATATGCAGTCATAATGTACTGCCAGGGTAGACCTAGGTGTCCAGAGAAAATAATAACACCCCTAAAATAAAAACAGCTCAGTACTAAAGAATTTTTTTTTTTAAGTCAGATCACCAATGAACGTCAAGTCAATTGTATTGTTTTATTTGACCAATCTGATTTAAATCTCATACTCAATGAAAATCTAATTTGGGTAAAACAATTATCAGAGGCAATTTTTCAAACATTCACAAATGTTTTGCTAAGTGAAGGGAAATATCAGACTTCTTAGCACCAAGAAAAAGACAACTTTTAGACATACAAAATGCAGACCAAAATGTTTCAAAAAACAAAACAAACAAGAATCTAGGAACATGGAGAACCTTTTTTAAAGTCCAAAGCACTGCAGCTAAGAATAAATAGTAGAGGATGGAATTTAAGGTGTTCTTGGTGTATTAATAAGAAGAAAATATTGTATTTTGTGACCATTTTGAATTGTCAGGCTTTAAAAGGACAACCTAGCAACAATGGTCACATGTTATGATTAGCAAAGCACAGGCTAGAATATAATTCGCCTGCTATGACATACAGTAGTCCCTTGCAAACCACAAGGGTTAGGTTCCTGAAAAACCCCGTGGTTGGCAAGACTAAAGGCTTATGGGAAATAGGGGGATAGGTTCCATGGCTGCAGGTAACACTCATCAAAAACTAACAAAGTTGCCTGTTCCTTCGCTAAACAATACCTGTATTGTACATTTAATTACATTTGAGTCAAATACATATAAAATAGATTAATATAAATTAAATATTTCAGAACATTTCTGTGGATAGAGCATGTTGCTATAAAATAAGAAAATGAAGAGCATGGGTGTGTATGTGTGTGAAGTAAACACGTGTGCGTGGACTTGGCAGGTCAACAAGTTAGACTACCCCTGTAGCCACATCCCCCTAGCTCTCCCCCTACCAGGCCAAGCTGTGAATTGTGTTATGGCTATTTTTCAACCCATATTTTCGGAGAGGTACTGTATACGTATTTGTTTTTAAATACTCTGAACATGCACACTTTAACCGTTCATACAGAATGCATAAAAAAATATATTATCATAAGGTCAAAAACAGAGAATAAACATTTCTTCTTGCTCGGGAGTTTGCACAGGGATCGTGGGAGAAGGAAGCGTACTCCTGTACCCTGTGTCCCTAGTGAAACAAATGCCTAATGGCAATGCAGAGGTTTTCTTTTATCTTTTGTATTAGTAATATTTTTATTTATTCCTCACATTTACGGAGGGATACATAAGATCGCTGAGGGATAAAGATGTCGTGCTAATCAGTGGATACATAAAACTAAATGCTGCGGTTGGTGAAATGGTATACCGAGTGAAAACTGTATACAGTATACACTTATTTGAAGCAACAGCAGTGCTCTATATCTGATGATGGTGAAATGCTGTCAAACCTTCATCCTTTTCACAAAACACCACCAAAAAAGGGTCCAGCCAATATTGTGGAAAATATAAAATCTTTAATGTATTTTGTTCATACCTAAAAAAGGGCACTTGCAAGAAATTGAGGAGAGGGGGCAGGGTAGTTATGATTCAAATGAGTGAAAAAAATCATAATTTAAATAAAAAAAAAATTTTACCAATACTGTAAATGAAATCTGTTTTTTCCTTGAGATTCTTTGTGGTAGCAGTAGCATGTGCATGTAAGTGTCTGCCAGGTTTTCTTCCCACATGAATGTCTTTCCATGGAAGTACTGTACAGTAGTACACCATTTAAAGATTTTTATTTGGGTAAACATGTTGTTCAGTCTCTCTCACCTCTTGCTTGGTGGCAGTATTTTCCCCATGATTTACCAGATAATGTAATGAACGTCCCTAAGCATTTATTTACAGATGTTGCATCATCAGCAGGCATTGTCAGAATTTTTTCAACATTTGTACATGTCAGAAATTGCCTAGGAAGAGAAAAGGCTACAAAATTTGTCATTATATAAGCCCTTAAATAAATTATCAATGTAAACATGTAAATAAATCGCTTCAAAAGAATGTTAATGTTTATAAGGCTTGCTTTTTGTTCATCTTAACAAAAGTTGAAATGCCAATTATTTCTTAATAAAAATTTTGTTGCAGAGACAAGTTTTATCAGATTTATTTCAAGTTCCTATGGTTAATTATGTCTTTTATTAAATGAGATATCAGTAGGCTGTAACCAAGTTATAATTTATCAGTTTTATGTCAAATTACATGAATACATCTATCTTAAAAATGTATGATACCTAAATTTTCTTTCACCTAACCCTTAATAAACCTTAGATGTAGGAAATATCATATTTTCATATACCAGTAAATGATGAAAAATAAAAATCTATTGAAATAAAAAAATCCAATTTAAATAAGAATATATTTCTTTAAATCATGATTTTATCCAACACTGAGAAGATCAAGCTGTTGCTGTACCACCTCTAGATCCACCCTTTCTTTCAATATTCTTTTTAATGCTTAAGAAAATGGGTGATGTTGGGGAGGGGAGGTGAGAAGGAGGCTGCTGCCCACAAACCTATCAATACTCGGTGCTCAGCAAACAATTTTTTTTCTTCTGGTGTACAGTATTGCAACCTGTGATTTAACTCTTTTTATAACTTAAGTAATACAGTATATTATTACCCACACAATTTGTGCCTTCTGCAAGGTGTTTCATGAATTAACTTCATGAAAGGTAGAGAAAATCTGTACATGTGTGTGTGTGGAGTCAGTCACCATCCCTCAGACATGAGGATGACACCTTAATTAACTGATTGATTGGCTGAAATCAATGTACAGTATACTGGTATGAGTGTACACATGTAGTATATACAGTACTTGTTATTGTTTTCTTAATGTTTGGATTATAATCATACTTCCTGAGGGCTGATTTGTCTGGATGAGTCTTGTTCTCATCTTGCCACTGCTTAAACTGCTTCTCCCAATTGACAAATTGTCTGTCAAATTCCTTTAAGTCTTCATCACTCTGGAATGTGAGAAAAACATTAAATAATCTGAATGAATAACTTAAATAACATAAAATTAATTTGAAAGACAGAAATCAATACTATTGGAATTAAGGAGAGTAGTATATAATTCCATAAGTGCAGAAAAGTTTATCATTCAACTGGTATCCATGCTTCATAATTATCTGACAACTCAAAGGAGCAGTAGTGCCAACCCTAGAGTATAACATGTATCATGGATTCAGCACAAAAGTTAACTTTGAAGAAGAGAGGCAACTAAGATGAAATTTTTGAGGATTTGGGACTTGGAATTCAGACAACAAAAGAAAAATAATAATTCATAAAGGATAAGTCTAATGTTGACACCAAAAAAGTATCGAAAATGTTACGTTAAACCAGTAGTATATATGTGTGCGTGTGTGTCTTGAATAAAGACGAAAGCTAAGGTGCTCCATTGTTTCCCTTTTCCCTATGTGATTTAAAAAAAAATAATGTGTGTGTGTGTGTGTGTGTGTGTGTGTGTGTGTGTGTGTGTGTGTGTGTGTGTGTGTGTGTGTGTGTGTGTGTGTGTGTGTGTGTGTGTGTGTGTGTGTGTGTGTGTGTGTGTGTGTGTGTGTGTGTGTGTGTGTGTGTGTGTGTGTGTGTGTGTGTGTGTGTGTGTGTGTGTGTGTGTGTGTGTGTGTGTGTGTGTGTGTGTGTGTGTGTGTGTGTGTGTGTGTGTGTGTGTGTGTGTGTGTGTGTGTGTGTGTGTGTGTGTGTGTGTGTGTGTGTGTGTGTGTGTGTGTGTGTGTGTGTGTGTGTGTGTGTGTGTGTGTGTGTGTGTGTGTGTGTGTGTGTGTGTGTGTGTGTGTGTGTGTGTGTGTGTGTGTGTGTGTGTGTGTGTGTGTGTGTGTGTGTGTGTGTGTGTGTGTGTGTGTGTGTGTGTGTGTGTGTGTGTGTGTGTGTGTGTGTGTGTGTGTGTGTGTGTGTGTGTGTGTGTGTGTGTGTGTGTGTGTGTGTGTGTGTGTGTGTGTGTGTGTGTGTGTGTGTGTGTGTGTGTGTGTGTGTGTGTGTGTGTGTGTGTGTGTGTGTGTGTGTGTGTGTGTGTGTGTGTGTGTGTGTGTGTGTGTGTGTGTGTGTGTGTGTGTGTGTGTGTGTGTGTGTGTGTGTGTGTGTGTGTGTGTGTGTGTGTGTGTGTGTGTGTGTGTGTGTGTGTGTGTGTGTGTGTGTGTGTGTGTGTGTGTGTGTGTGTGTGTGTGTGTGTGTGTGTGTGTGTGTGTGTGTGTGTGTGTGTGTGTGTGTGTGTGTGTGTGTGTGTGTGTGTGTGTGTGTGTGCATGTGTGTGTGTGTGTGTGTGTGGCTGGCTCACTGGATTTACAATTCATAATAATTTAAAAGCATTGTGACTACTGTATAGTGTAGTTATATTTTTACCACTGATATCAGCATCAATAAAATACCAGGATTATGCTGAAGTATAACTAAAAGGATTTTTATTTTGAGACAAGTGTGTGAACTTTACTACATGTGCCAGCTAGTCATTTTTCTTTATATAATTAATATAATTAAATACTGTAACCCATTACATATATACAAATAATAAAGAACAATTTATATTCTACACGCAATCAGAGTTGCTGGAAAGAACAAAAACACCCACATATGAATGTTCACATTATAACCAATATAATTGGCCTCTACCGTCTCCATTACTCTCATCATGTTTAAGATCATGACATTTTATATCTGACAGACTAGAATCCTAGTTCCACAAGTATTGTGGTTCAACATTAATGTAATAGCTAATAACACATCAATAAGTTTCAGTATTCTGATCTGCTTCAGTGTCCTGCTTTTACAACTCAACATCCAACCAAATAACTCACCTTTTCATCAAACTTGGCTAAAATATCCAAGTTCTTGGAGACTAAACTATTCTCCTGTCCATATGCTTTTTCTCGTCCATCTAAAAGTAAATAAACAAAGGGTAGAGTTCAGAAACAAAATATTGGATTTATCAAAACATTTCGTGTACTTTGAAGGATATGTGAATAAACTGACCAGATAAGATCACATGCATAGTCTACAGGCTCCTAGGCATAGGTTGGATGGATATATGAGCAATAGGGGTTGGGTGTAAATGGGACTGCCCAGTATGGGCCAATAGGCCCGCTACAGTTTCCTCCATTCTTATGTTCTTATGATTATTACATTTAAGGTTCAACCCCATATCTGGGACAGTTTATTTACTGTACAGTATATACTTTTGTTTGAATTAGAGAACCTAGGATTTGGTCAAGGTGGGTAAAAATTATAAAGGTTTTTCTTGAAAATGGTCGAAAGGAACTCTTTCATACTGAATTTCTGCCTAATAAAAGCTGCTTCAGGGTGCCCTGGATTTAAGCCACCAACCCTTCAGACATGAGGTAAATACAGTACAGTATCCACTAAACTGCTGCACACCTCCAACAAGAGTACTGGGGCACAAAAACAATGATTATAGTTTTATGATACCAAGAAACTAACACTGTATATTTGCCCATGATATACCCAAGAACTGTGAACTTTAAATATATTTTTTGCAAACAAATAGAAAAATAAAAGGCTCAGTTTGCAAAAATGGACAGCAATCAATCCATCCGTCACTTCAAAATGAGAAGGCTGCACAAGTACAGTACAGTACATATATAAACAGGTGAAAATTTAGTAATCAAAATTAAGTTTTAATCACTGTTCCTATATAGCTCTCTCTATTTAGCTAGGGTGTGTTAAAAGAAGTAATCCATTGAAACTTCTTCTACAGTAATGCTTCCATTACCAACACAAATTCAAGATAAAAAGATTGGAGAAATATGACCTAGACTGTGGGAGTAATATATATCAAAAACTAGTGCCCAAAGAAAGGTTCAGTTCAGTATACTGTCTTACAGCAGACTGGGCCTCCTGCTCACAGAGAGCATAGTAGGGGCCTACAAATGACGATAAGACAACCTCGTCTGTGGCAGCATGCAGCTGTACACCCGCCATAGCCTGCACCTGTAGCCACACCAGCTAGTGACATCTGTGTTGTATTGTGAAGTTGTGGCAACATGTACTGAGCTGGAAGTGTGGAATGAAAACCCTGCCTTATTGTACCCAGGCGAGGCGAAATAACTTGGCACACAGACTTCCTGATTTCTCCAACCCAGCAACATTCAGTGGTTGTGAAATTTTGTATTTTCATGTTCATTAACATACATCTTTCAAAAGACTATAATATTAATTTTTTTATTATAATTTTGGGCCCTACTAATGCATCTACAGCAGATGAATGATTCACTCTAATTGGGTTAAAATATATACACAAGCAAACACCCAACATCAATAAATACAAACACAGTACTGTACAGTATAATACATACGATCTGGCGCAGAGTTATATCCTCCCCTCTCTTGAGATCCAGCATGATTGCCTCCATAACCACCACTTCCCTGGCCTTTGACATTCTGTCCTCGATTGTAAGGATCCCTTGAAGCATCTGCCCGACTGCTGGAATCCAAGTAGTTTCCCCAAGGTTGGTTACCTTCATTCCATGGACCTGAGGGTCCACCTCTGCCTTGCACACCACTAGAGGTCCAGCTAGAGGAAGTTTGGCCAACTCCATGTTGAGTGTTACCCCATGGATTCCCCCAATCTCCCCCTGTCCGATTCATATGCTGATTTGAATCAAAATTTTGCCGGTTCTGTGCTCCAGGGTCATTCCACCCTCTACCATGTGCCAAGTTATCCTTTGGAGGTGCTTGTCCCATCAACCCTTGTGGCTGTTCTTTCACTCCAGGAGACTCACCAGACAACCCAGGAGACTGTTCTACAACTGACTTATCTTGAGCTGGGTCTTGTGCTTTCACTTTTGAATCCTGTAAATCTTTAGCTGAGTTAGGATGTGCTCCCAGTAAACCATCCCCTCCTAAATTTGAAGATCCCACTTTAGATTTGTCTGTCTTTTGTTCTTCCTCTTCCTCAGGAGGTGGGGGTGGTGGAGGATCATCGGGTGGGGGAGGGGCACTAGGAGGGGGAGCCTCAGGGGGGGCCACATCTGTAGAGGCCCCACCTGGGGTAGTAGAACTGGTAGTTGTAGTGGTGGTGGTAGCAGTGGCGGAAGGAGTGCTAGTGGATGTTGTACTTGGCGGAGGTTCACTGGTATTGGCAGCACCTGGGGCAGGTATGTTTGGTGGTGGAACACTTGTATCCTGGTGCACAGAAGCAACAGTAGGTGGAGGTACAGACATCATTGGCATTACCCCAGAGGTATTGCCATACATGCCATACATACCATAAACCTGTAAATAAACAAACTTTAAATACCCAAGAGGTACGGCCACAAACCTAGAAATAAACAAATTTGGAATGATGAAATGGCATTTACATTTCATATGCCAGATCCACTGGTCTTAACATTGGTCTATATTAATTCAAGACATTAAATTTCATACTAGTCTACTAAAATAGGATAAATAGGTAAGATAAACAATTGTTTTCTTTTGAGTTTCAGTATCAAAACCAAATGTAAAGTTAGTTTGTACCCAAAATTAATGAAATTTGTATTAATGGCAATATAAATTTAAAACTCAAAATAGCAATGTTACAGAAAATTATAAAATGTCAGTTAAATGAAGCTATATATCAAACTACTGTATACCCAATATCGCTTCTATTAATAATGAAAAGAAAACTGACAGAAAACAAACATCTTTCAAGGCACCTATAAGTTAAGTTAAAAAAGGAATGTTGAGGTCTTAAACCTATTCATCTGGTTTGATTATGACAACGAACAAAAGTCTAGCACACTCCTAACCAATGTTATAAAGCCACTAAAGAAAAAACAAATCTGAAACAGTGATGCAGAAAATATAAATATACCACACAGCCCAGGGAAATTTCACTCACTACCATGGCCTCTAAATGCCTCATTACCCAAATTAATAGCTTCACCATGACACTCCTCAATATCCTGAATCTTACAAAACACTTCTTAACATGAAACACCTTCATCAACTATGTAATCCCAATGTTTATCACTAAAACTACTACAGTTCTGCCATTGCTTGAATATTGAGATACCTGTACTGTATATGAAGAAACATCCCTCCTCAGCCACTTCTTGCCAAGCACTCCCCGAGTGTCCCAAAATCCTCTGCTCAATTAGAGTGTTTGTTTAGAACTGAAAGCAGGATCTAACATGTTTGCTACTGCTTGACTGACTGACAATACAGTACATGTCCCCTGATTAATGTACAAGGTGTCCTTATTTATTGTAGGGGTTGCATTCTTTAAAAATGCAACATTAGCCCTTTGCCAACATATCCTGGAGTGTGGAGGGGCCCAGCACACTTGACATATCCGGCCACAGCAGCTGCATTTTATTTTTCGTGGACCAATGTAAATTTCCCAGACTTTGTTTTTGCTCAGCATCTTTGTGGAGCTTTCTGACAACTGCCCTGAGGTGGTATAGGCCTCTCACCCATTAGTAATGGCCAAACTATGGCGGAGTCCTCAAGATGTTCCACATCTGCTCATGTGCAGCACCCCACACAAGATGAAATTAATCCCAACATATTTGTTTCAGCAGACAATGATGACCCTCCTATGCAGTGACTACTGTATTGATTTTAGTGAATTTGAGTGACAAAGATGAAGAAAGTGCTGGCAGTCCTATAAATAGACAAATTGTTCAAGCTAATAAGATCAATTAACTTATGACCAATTTAAGAATACTCAATAATGACCTAAGTGGAGTGTAATAAATGTACCAGTCATATAAGAACACAGTAATTGTAGTCACAAATACCATAAATATGCATATATCCACCATGTTATGTTGAAATGAGTGAAAAAATTAAAAACATTAACCAAGATAGATCTATATGGAGTGCAACAGAAGTATACGTATCAAATTAATTAAATTAAGTTAAATTTAAGGTGTTCCACTAATGTTCAACAATAATGAAGGTTTGAGATGGTTCCAGTCAGGGTAGGTCATTGCTGACAATGAAACAGCTGTGTGGTGACTGACGATCCGTTGTCCATGAGTAAACAGCTCATGACCACCAAAACAAAACTGCATACCATAACTAACCAAATCAACAATTATTTTTATGTACAACAACAAATTAGAAACAAATATAAACGCCAATAATACTTGTACAGTAAAGCCTCCGATAACAACCCAATTCAATTTACGCCATTATTTTCTTTGTATTTACGACGAAATTAGAAGAAAAAATACAATTTCATATAAATAATAACTAAATCCTGATATGTATTATACAAAAAAAGAAAAAAAAAAGCCTTGCGCATGGAGGCTGCCGGGCTTGTTAGTGGTGACGCCAGCATCACTAGTATAAACAGTCGCAGCTGGCGGGCCCTTTGTTTTCACGCATCTGAACAGGAAAAGGAGAAAAACTTTCTCAAGTTTCTTGCGTCATTTTTGCGTCCCTATTCAACATGAGCAAGAGAGCAAGTGGTGATAGTGCTGGTTCAAAAGCTAATAGAAAGTGCATAAGCTTAGCCGAGAAACTAGATGTGTTAAAACGATATGAAAAAGGGGAGAGGTCTGTGGAAATTTATGGAGCAAGCAATGAACATATTATTTTCTTTAGTGGATCCATTAGCAGAACGAAGCATTAAAATTAACAGGGACATGAAAAACGCAAATGACCTCTACATAAAGATGTACAGTATAAAGAGAAATGAAAGCAGCTGTGCAAGGTTCTTTCGACAGCTTTATTATTCGAAGGCCGAAACCATCAATTTCAGCTACACCAGCAAATTCATCATCATAAGCAGCTTCAACAACAACTTCAGGTTCAGTAACCGTTCCAGCAACAGTTTTATGGAAAGCTACAGCTTCAGCCAGAGTTGAACTTGATGACTTCGTCATCTGAGTAAAAACTCGCACAACATCATTGGCTGTCCTTATGTTTTAGACTTTACCACCATTGGCGAGTAGAATTTTTCTTTTACATTCATAAGTATTATTTAAAACATATATGAACAGTAAATAAATGTGGCTATCATATTCTTATGTAGAGAAATGACGATATGTTTTCACATGTACGCACTTACTGTACATATGTTGGCGTTCCCAATCGTCTCGCTTTATTTCTTTACCATTAGTGGTTAGCTACTTCTAGTGTTCCATTTATTAACATTAAATACCATTACTTAAAACTTAGCTACAGGTACGTATTCATATTTTTACATTACGTTCACTACAGCTACAACCAGGGTCTAATTTCTTCAGTTTCTTATGTAGAACCATCGTCCCAGACTCCCGGCTGTAGACACTATAAAAAACGATGGCGTCCCATCTCCTCTTGTGTGACCATATTATTCATTTATATTGTATAAGGTGCATTCATAAACATTATTTAAAGAATGTAGTTTGCATTTTTCATTAATTTGATTGGTTTTGGGGAAAAGAGGGTAAAAAGCCACACAAAAGATATGAAAGGGTCACACTTGGGACTGCATCTCATTATTATTGGTTTATTTTAATGGTAATTAATGATTCACGATACGATGATTCACCTTACACTGCATTATTGGAGGACACATTACCATCGTTATTCGAGGCTTTACTGTAATAAAATTGGTACTCCAAGGATACAATCCAATGTCCTTATTATAGTATCATATACAATATAACTGTTAGCCTACAGAGTTGCAAGGGGAAGCAAATAAAGGATGAGTATGACACTGGCTGATATGATGTCCAGTACAGTACTCACCCCCGTCTGGCCCCATATCCATGGGTTTGAAGTAGAAGTGTGTGATGGCCATTGCTGCCCCTGCTGATGCTGGTATGCTGCATACTGTTGTGCTTGCTGCTCCAGCACACTCAATGTCGCCTGCAATAATCAGCAAGGTAAAACTTGGTCATACAATAACCAACGGGAGGAAGTGTCTACTACAGTAATTTTGAGCATACGTTCAAGGTTCTTTGCAAATTACACTTATACAATTAGCAACATTATTTTCTTATGGTTCCTCAATGTGGAAATAAGTAAAGAGACCATAGTTGTCAAGAGATTTATTTTCTATCACAGCTTAAAGCATCTTTTCTCTATGGCATCCAAAAAAAAATTTCCCTCCTCTGCATGGACTTGCGACCCTCAACAAGTCTGAGACAATCACCAGACACCGAGTGTGCTGACATCTGGGAGCGCGAGCGGACACGCACTAGGTATCAGTAAATAAACAGACGATGCAATTTGCATACAGTATCCCCCCTCCCCAGGGCAGAGCGCAAACCTCTTAAATACATTTAGATTTTTTTTTTAAATACGGATAAAAATTAAGGTGTTAAACAGATGATATATTAATCCCCCACTGCCGAGTCAAATATTTATGACCTTACTTAACAATCATGTTAGAAATTTATCATGATCAACGTAATCATCATTTAATGCTGGATGAAGGAAATCATTCCAAAATGCTCATATCAAAATGTTAACCTTTAACTGCTTGCATGCGTAGCAAACAGTACTTGCTGATTCTCAAATACTGTATACTGTAGTAGTTTTACCTAGCTTTGCCACCAGCTTTACATTCTATACATAAAACAAATGTTTTGATGAAAAGTAACAGGAAAAAAGAAAAAAAGGGAGAGATGGGGGGAGGGGGGGGGGGGAACCTACCCTAAAATTACACCTTCAAGCCTCCAAGGGGTTTTCACACGGCAAAATTTCCCTCGTCCTCAGTGAATGACGGTAATTCCGTCCAATGAACTCAGACTTTCCACCAGAAAGCAATGACCAGCACGATTCTTAGTCCACTTCAGCTATTAAATCATGTTATGTTAAAATGTAACTGCAAAATTATAAGACAGTGGCTAAAGTACCACCCACAGCAAAATAGCCTGACTAGCTATTTTGGGCTAGTACTGTATTTTACCAGTCTTTGCTGTAATAAAAGTAATGATATACTGTACAGTACTATAATAGTATTTATTGTAGTATGCAAATAAAAACATGACATGAGGATAAGTACAGTATGTACAGTAGTCATTTTTTTTTTAGACTTATACATTATATCAAATACTGTATACATACCTGTACAGTAGAATCCCAGTTATCCGGTATCCAGACAACCGGAACCAAAATTAAATAATAATAATAATAATAATAATAAAAATTCCTCCGAGATCAGCTAGAATCATAAGTTAGAATACTGCACACATATTTATTGCTATGATAAACAATAAAATCGATATAGAGCATGTCATAAAATACAAAAGCACATGTTCACGCAAAAAAAAATTAAAATAAGTTATCGCTCCTACAATCAAACTCTCCCTCCTCTGGGCGAGTCAGGGTGACACGACACAGTTCAGGCAGTCAACCAGCTGACTCACAGATGTGTGGCTGCCACGGTGGGTGTGTGTGTATGCTAGGACATCACATCAGGAGGGAGCACAACCACACAGTTACAGTCCAGTAACCCACTACCTCAACACATTCACTTCCCACATATACACACTGAAGCTCTTCATTTTTCTTATTTTACAGTTTTATACAGTGTTATATTTTCTTTTCATCTTAGCCACATTAGGGTATTGTAATGATCTTTCCACAACATTTATAGTTTAATTACAAGTAACAATAAACGAGGTGGCTTGGCTGGCGAGTTGGTGGTGTGGTTATAGCCAAAGCCTTGGCTATAACCACCTCCACACATGTCCTTTGTTTTTCTTATTTTATAGTTTTGCTATATTTTCTTATTTCTAAGCCATGTCATTTATATAGAGTGGAATAAGTGTTAAAGAAGTTTGTTTTTTTCTGATACGAATTTGCTAGGTCAGCCTGAAGCACAGTGCATTGTAGGATTTATTGGGGGATCCTAAGTGTGAGTTTCAACTAACCACGGTTTTTACTCTGTACACCATTTCATCAACCTTGGCAATGAATATCGAGTACAGTATCTGTGGATTGGTGTGGCGTCTTTATCCCTCAGTGGTCTAATGGATTCCTCCGTAAATGTGAGGAATGAAATAAAATAATAATAAATAAAAGAAAAGAAAAAATACTGCACTGCCATTTAGGAATTGTTTCACTAAGGACACGGGACACAGGAGTATGTGCTCCCTCCTCCCACAATCGTGGATTAACTCCTGTGGATGTAACAAATGTTTATTCTCTGTTTTTCACCTTATGATAATCATTTCATATATTTTGTTTGCGCATTCTGTATGAACGATTGTGTGCGCATGTAACAGTAAAAAAAAAAAATGTATATCTACCTGAAAATACAAGTTGAAAAATAATAACAGTTTGGCCTGGAAGGGAAAGAGCTAGACAGTCTAACTTGGTGACCTGCCATGTCCACACATACATGAACCCATGCTCTTAATTTTTAATATTTCACAGCAACATGCTATCTCCATGGAGATGTACAATAAAATTTATATTGCTATTTAATTTATATTAAGCTACTTTATATGCACTTAACTCAAACTCAATTAAATGTACAATTAAAGTATTGTTTAGTGAAGGAACAGGCAACTTTGTTAGGCTTTGATGAGTGTTACCTGCAGCAATGGAACCTAACCCCCTATTTCCCATAAGCCTTTAGTCTTGCCGACCACGGGGTTCATCGGGAACCTAACCCCGCAGTTGGCGAGGGACTACTGTAGATAAAATCATATGTTATCAGCACTTTATTAAATCCATTGCATTATAATAGAAGCACATAATAAAATACCATTTAGACAATTTAAAAACATGTTTATTATCTTTCCATTGGGTACTTTTATTATTGAAATCAGTTACAGCATAACATTCCCTGCAAAACCAAAACTTGGTTTTAGGCCTTGTCCATTTTCCAATGCACATTTGATGAGCCCACTGAAGGCAACAGTCACAGGCCAAAGAATCCATAAAGTGAAAGTCCTGCTTACAAAGTTTACACAACCACTGGGGAGCTGATTTCAGGGCCTCATATACGTGTTGCACAGCTGCCTAGCCATCATTATCAAAGTACCTGCAGATATTCTGGGTGGAAATATTCTCATCTAGGCATGCTGTTGGGATGTGACAGGGGATCTGTTCTACATAATTCTCAGACAAATGTTGACCTTTCAGTGCACAATTAATGTCCTCTTCATTCACAAAATTTGCTGATCTGGATCTGCTGATAACTATTGCCTTTTGTTGATGAGGGTTTGGGCCTTAAAGATGAGGCAATATTATGAATATCCTTCGTTATGAGTGATATACCAGTGATCTGTGCTCTTCGACAAATGCTGGTGCAGCAGTTTTCTGTTGGCACTCTTTTGAGCATCTCAGCTGTCTTGTCCTTGTCAGATTGGTCTAGTCGGCATTGTGCTGGCAGGAGGTTGAAGAGGGGCTGAGAGATCTCATGGATGGGTTTATTGATGGGGTCCGACTAATTACCCAAATGTACCCATATGTAGGTGCAATGAAGTCAAATAATGGTCATACAAGCGTAAATCGGGTTGTGAATTACTTCTCGATTAATATTTGGTGTCATAAAGTCACAAAAAATTGGTACGCTTAATTTAATCTGAGTTAATAGATCGAGTGCATGTACCTAACATAACTCGGATTAAATTAAGTTTACCAATTTTTTGTGACTTTATGACACCAAATACTAATCGAGAAGTAATTCACAACCCGATTTACGCTTGTATGACCATCATTTGACTTCATTGTGGCTACATTTGGGTACATTTGGGTTCATTTGGGTACATTTGGGTTCATTTGGGTAATTAGTGGGACCGTTTATTGATGTGCTTTGTGATGAGTCAATGCTGTCCATCGTAGTTTGAGCTGGTATGGGCAGTCTACCTTAATTGTTGATGTGTTGGGGCACTGACCAGTAGATTTACTATTGTGCTTCCAGCTTCTATGGACACAGGAGTACCACAGTTCATGATATTTGAAGTCTGGGTTGAAGTTGTGATTTGGCGTCCTCTTCTGTGCTGTGGCAATAGTTCTGCTGTCCCTTTTCCATAGCTGCACATAGTTAGCAGTTTGATAACTTCTGAGATCATCTTCTAGTTCAAGGATGGAGCTGAAATGGTCACCAACACTTAGGTCTATATTAGTAGTCAGAAACCTTAGTTCTCCATGAACTATCCCAACTAACTCTGGACAATAAAAGTAATAACACAGTAACAGAACAGACCAATCACCTGTGTGGCTAGTAAGATGATAAAGTGGTGAATAGATAAATGTCCTTCGTGCCATTTCCATAGTAAATTCAAGTCTTATTTTCTTTATTCTCCCATTGAATTCATTAACATATGCTTACTAATGAAAATCCACGGTACAGAACATAATTACCCAGCTTGAATATTACAATAAATACTAACACTAGGCCCATAAAGGACTCCTGAAAAACTGCAAGAATAAACATTTAACCAGCTTCTTCCCCTAGCCAAAAGAAATGTAGTTAATTACACACATATAAATATATATATATTAAGTATTCCTAGCAATTTAATCGTCTGTCATCCAGAATGGTGAGCGGGAACAAGCAATCAAGAATACAGTCTATCAATGGTATACAACTAAGACGGCGTGGGTCGATCTCTTTTAAACAAGCCACCGGCGATCATGAACGATATTCTCATTAAATTTACCTCACCAGCAGGAGCACCAGGTACGTTCCCTGACGCCCATGCTTGGTTGGTCCACATATCTCACAGGTGAATTCTTTTTTAACGCTGCTTAATCCAGATAACAGTTGACCATAGCAGCCATGACGGTACGCCACAGCATAAACAAACGCTCTGTAGATAGTATAAGTAACGCGAAGTGACGTCACCATGAAGAATCCAACTCTCTTTTAACAGTTTCCAGCACTCAACATCTGACATCTGTAACCAATTGCAAAATCCAAATATCTAAAACCCAATCGTAGGAAATATCAACTAAATGGTATTTTAAAAGAGTTGAAAGTTATTTTTTATGATATTTTATTAATTGATATACTCAAATTTATATCTAAACCATTTCCTTCCGTAAAAAAAAATATGGTGGGCTTTCGATGTTGTTTCCCAAGTGCAGGGTTCAGTGTTTGGTAAGGGAGTTGAAGACCTTACTGACTCTAGGGTTATTTCATCTATCACTTGCTCAATATCTTGGCATTCAGGCATTGCGATTCATAAAGTTCACTTGTAAATACTATTCTAAACTGCCTTGACTTGCATATACAGTACTTGTTTTGTGGATATAATGTATCAGTTTTAAAGCCCTCTTCAGTTTAGATATTTTTTTAAAGACTATGTTCCATTATTTTAATGTGTTGTAATGCTTAATGTAGGAAATACACTAATCTTTTTTTTTTCGTCATATTGGCCACTTTTCAACTTACTAGCCATTTGGGAGGTTTTCAGGTGTTAGTACAGGAGGATAGCTGGGACCAGGAAACCTGTGGTGCTTGGTAGGGTAACACTGGATAACACCCTTCTCACTTTGTGTCCGGGCCAATGCTCTAACCCTTGACAACAGCAAGGATTTTTTGCCAAGGAACCATGGCAATAAGGGACAGCCTAATAAACAGGGTCCCATAAAATCTTGACTAAGGTTTCATTAGTCTGCGAAATGTTATCACAAGTTAGGTTGTAAAAAATAAAAAGAAATCGGATTTCCCGCCGTTAATCCTGACTCTTCGGATTTCGTTTAGTGACCTATTACATACATAATAATAATAATAATAATAATAATAATAATAATAATAATAATAATAATGGAAGCCCCTCGAAATCGATGATGGCCGGCCCAAGGGCCTTGTAGTGGACGTCTCCCCTACAAACTGCGAAGCACCGCCACCACCTGCTATCACATTCCAACGTGCCGTTGCCTAGCAACCAAGCGAGAGCTGTCCCCAGATGTTACCGTATCTTAGCAACGAAACTATTCACCAGCGACTTCTCGGGTTTTCCCAACATGACTCATAGCGGCTGCTGGGTATATAAGCTCTGTCTCTCCATTGAGATTGATTCTGCCCATTTTCCTGAACAAGCAACACCTCCTCCAGCAAGCTCCTAGCTGTTACATTTATTCAACCAGGAGGCCAGCAACAGGCAACATCTTCTCTAACGAAGCTCCTGCACATCTACCAGCTCCTCACCACACGGCACCTCCAGCACCAGACTGTCTATCATATAACTTATATTATACAAGAAAACCACATTAGAGTTTCCTTCCATCCTGAGTGCTAGACAACATCAATATCTCGATACCCCTACAGCCTCCTAGGCGTGAATTTGTTAAGGTGTAGAAGCTGTCGCCAACGGTTCCATGACAAAACCCCACCGGGGTTGTCATTTGTCAACACTAACCTAACCTAACCTAAGCTTAAAAGTGTATTATTTTATATTTTATATATGAGACTGGGGTTTCGTCCGTTGGGGTTTTATCCGGTCACTGTCGCCAACACAATAACCACACCCTAAGTTAACGAGCTGCACGTAATAGTCCGAGAAGACTGGACAGCTCGCCAACTGCACTGGCTAACCATTACCCGGAATACGATCCACAAATCGATTAACATCCAATTACTGCTGGGTAGACAGAGGCAAACGGCGTAAACAGATTTACAGATTGCCCACGAGGGGGCTAGTTTATTGGGCACCCCCTTACATCCTGTGCAAGGTGAAGCGCAGAAGCGTTTACAGCGCTGAACTGGGAAGCATTCAGAGTTCATGCTTGCCTTTTTGTCTCATGCATTAAGGGCGTAAAGGCCTGAAGGGTCGTGGGTTTTGTCAATAAGTTACATATAGTGACAGAATGATGAGTGTGAGGGGGGAAAATTCCCGGTACAATTTATCTGTTTATGGCAAAGTGTGGCAGGTCCCTAATAATGTCAAGTGCCAGGCCTGTGACTAGGAGGAGGGATATCTGGTCAGGGAGGAAAGAGGTGTTTGTAACGGCTGGGGACCTGTAGGAGGAGGTCATAGGCGTGAAGAAACTTGCCCATAGTTTCACCCTGCCCCGAGGATCGAACCCGGGTCCGCTCGCTTGCGAGGCGAGGATGCTGACCATTACAACACGTACATAGAAAACGATCGTAAGTAGTAAGTCTAAAAGTTACATAGTTGACCTCAAAACACTTGCATCCGTCTCCAACTATTAAAATGTAAGAAACGCCATCAGTCCTCTTGTCATTTTTTGTACATTAATTTGTTAATTAGAACTGTAAAATTCTTATCACTGGCGGCCATAGGTTATATTTTTTTACGACGGCCAAAAAATATAACTAACAGAGCTAATTAGCACGCAGTTGAAGTTGCCAGCGCTATTTCTACTGAAGTACCAAATGGTCACTTTCTCCTTCAATTTGTTTATTGTTATTATTAATTACGCCCAATGGGCAGCAAATTCAGAATAAGACACGTGGTCGAGCACAACTTAGGGGACAAGACAATTTCATTTAGCAACCACCAAATTGTGAGTAGTGTATCAAAAGCACATCTAAATTATCAAGAACAAGCAGGGGATGACATACAGTAATAGTATTGTCATATTTTGTGATCAGTGACGCTCCCTGTGGCAAAAAGACATCACTAACAGACAGTCTAACAGTAGGAAAATGGAGATAGTGTTTTAGATGTGACACTGTTACAGGAAGAGAAGTGCGAGACATCTCCCGCCTCAGAGATTTGCCGGTCTGTATCCTAGACTAATATAAAACCTAAATAGTATTTTGTCTGTGAACCAAAAGTCCAGAGGGGTGGATCCAGGATTTTATGATGGGGGAGATTCGGATTTTGGGTGAACGATAATAGACGCAGACACTAAACAGACATAAATCAGGGGTCTGTGGTCAATAGTTACACCAAAGTGCACATCCTTGGGACCTTTGTAATGTGTGTAAAGTGTCACTTCTCTAACTGCTTCAGCTCTGGAGCTTTGGCTGGAACAGACACCCAGGCGTCCATGGTCAATAATAATACCTTGGTATTATTATTGACCATGAACAACCTTGCCATGTAATATGTATGTACAGTTACTGGTCTCTAACTGCTTCCGTTTTGGAGTGGTGAAGAGGATAAAAGTAAAAGTAAAGTTGGAACAGACAGACTCAGTACGTCATTTTAGTATTATGTATACGTGTCCCTCACAGTATCGTTTTGGGTGCCCAGAACTCTTTTATCTACTTTGTGGGGCCCCAGGGCTCTAGCCTCAGTTATCCCCCCACCCTTTAATCCACCATCGACACTATTTGATCCTGGAGATATGCTAGAACCTGTCAGCTGATAAAAAAAATGTCTAAAGGAGGGCACCAGACTGGTTCCTGCACTATGGCAAATCATGTACCCCGGGAGAATAGAATGCCTGTAGTAGCCCAGCTTATACTGTACAATACTGTGTACTAAAATCAGACAAAGGGTGACTTTATAAGTCTATAAGCATTAGAATGCCTGTAGTAGCCCAGCTTATACTGTACAATACTGTGTACTATAAGCAGACAAAGGGTGACTTTATAAGTCTATAAGCATTAGAATGCCTGTAGTAGCCCAGCTTATACTGTACAATACTGTGTACTATAAGCAGACAAAGGGTGACTTTATAAGTCTATAAGCATTAGAATGCCTGTAGTAGCCCAGCTTATACTGTACAATACTGTGTACTATAAGCAGACAAAGGGTGACTTTATAAGAGTCTATAAGCACCTTTGAAAACATTACACAGCGAGTGTTCTTGTTACTGGTGGATTCTCGCCCCACTAGGGGTCACAGCTTCAGGTTGAAGAAGCCACAAGTTCAGAAAATTGTCAGGACAAACTTTTGCAGTAAGAGTCGTGAACTCATGGAGCAATCTGCCAGAAGGTGTTGTGATGGCTCCGAGTGTGAATTCATTCAAGACTAGACTTGACCGATACTGGTGCAGGTAGAGATACAATCTGGAGCCAGTGTATGCCCAGCAAGAGTTCTAATTCTCATTTGTTCTACCAGTACAGTACATTATTTTTTACGATTCATACTAGAAAAATATACTGTACTATATACAGTACCGTAATTCTGTACTGTACCTAAAGTTTTTTTTTTACCAAACCAGTATGGCAAAATGTAATACCATTTCATAACACATTCCTGTATTCCTCAAAACTTATATTTGTCTATTACATGATTATGTGAGTATAAGTTTGTTATTGTTTAGAAGCGGCAACCTTTATAAAAGTTTTTTACCACTAGGCTGAGAGGCAAAGGCCAAACATCACCTTAGTGTAGACAAATAAGGTGATAAAATATAGTTATCTTATCAAGTTATCAAACACTAAATTCCATATTTTGCCAAGCAGAACCAGGAAGGACACAGACAATCAACCAGAGATGCACTGATCCCACCTTGGGTCTAGTGCTCGCAATTTTACGTGGCAATATGTACTTGATAAAATAAGCATGTATATAAAGGTGATTGTGATTGGTGGGTCTATTTTTGGCTGTACAGTATCACAATCAGGATAAACATAAAACAAACCAAAGGTAGCATTTTAGCCTTTTTATAATAATAAGCTATTCATTGTTACTTAAGATCATGAGAAGTTTCCAAATTTTTGTATATTTCCCTTAAATGATGAAGAAAAATATATTAATGAATTGGCAAGTCAACTACAACCAAGGCTGCCACAAGATTTTCACATAAAATTTTCTTCATTATTTAAGCACATATATGAACATTTGGAAACTTCTCATGATCTAAAATAATGATGAATAGTTTATTAAAAAAATGCTACCTTTGGTTTGTTTATTATTTATTCTGACAGTGATAAAGCTGAAAATAGATCCACCAATCACCTTTACATACAGCCTTACTTTACCAAGTATTGCCAGGTAAAATTGCGAGCACAAGACCCAGGGTGGGGTCAGTGCATCTTTGGTTGACTGCACCTAAGCTTTTGTCTTTATCCAAAACTTCTGAAGATGTCTTCAATAAAGACAAGATTGAGAATTAAGATATACAGTACTGTGTAACAAAATTATCTACTTTCCTTACATAAAATGTTATTACTCAGTACTTGCAGGCCTGCAACCAGGAAGGAACATGGGTGGGGGGGGCTGATCACTGATTTGGTCAACATCACCATATATACATGTGTGTTTGGGGGGTAATCTTACCAATTTCAGGGAAATTTTGAGACCATATCCACTGGATATTAGGACATATTCATTGATGCTATTGCCCAAATTTTTAAGCTACTCTGAGTTTTGAGGAGCAGCAGCTCCCAGTTCCATAAGCCCATGGTCATATATTACATAGCATCTACCGTAATATAGTACAAATAGCTCAAACGAAAACCACTAACAGCATCTAGTTATTAATTAACTGATTGGGATTGCATACAATTCAAGACATGAGGAGCACTTTTAAGACACAAACATATGCATGCACACACACACACACACACACACACACAGTTGGCTCACAAAGATATCCATAAAACACAGTGGCTCTGAAAAGTTTAAAGAATAATACATCGGGGACATAAAGTTGCTCACCTCCGTCACACGCAGTCACTCTCCCCACACTGGTTATGCTATCGGTTCACTCTGACCATTTGACATCACTAAGCTCTGCCCCCTGACCCAAGTGGGCAGTGTAGAAACAAAAGACTGATTGGTAAACATTTACATACTCGTCATGATGTCATTAACATTATTGTATCAAGTTGTCAACACTTGTGCCTGGGAGCAGGTTGACTCTTACTTTACTGTCACATTACAAAGCTGTTGACAAGGCCTAGTCGGTCTCTTTGATGATGACCTGAGCTGAAAAATGATATACAATCATGTTCACCATAACCTCACTTATACGTCCATAATAATTAGTTTCTCTAAATACGTTGGTACAGAAATGTACAAAAGAAGGAAGGAAAGAATACCATACTTTCGTACCATACAGAACTGGAGGAAAAAAATCCTACTATACTTAGGGTCCCCCAAAATTTTGTACCGCACTGCCACCCTAATTTCATACTGGCCCTGTGCTTACGAGAAATCAGACGAGAATTGAAACAAAGTGAAAAATATGAAACACTGTTCAAACACCGAGAAATATATTTAATGAAAATATGACTTGTAATAAATTGATTCACATTGTATAATTGAACTATAAAGTAGGAAGGATTTACTGTCATAGTGAAATTATTGTATGTAAAGTCAGTAGAGCGAAATGTAAATTCAAACAATACCAATAAGTTGACATAAAAAAGTGTACTGTACTCATAACTCTTTATTCCATGGCAATATTAATTTTATATTAGTTTTAACGGAGAATAAAAGATACAGTCTATAGAAAAAAAAAAAAGTATAGAAACTTCTTATTTTTATCTTATGTTCAAAATTTAAGTAAATATCCCTAAAAATCCTTGATATTACAGGGTAGTTGTAAAATTTATGGGAAAAAATAGCACTTTCAATCACAAAATAAGCTGCAAGACAGAGTAATTGGGTAATAAGATATAACTTCCACCAGCTTCATTTATTACCATTGACCAATAGGAATATTTAAACCAACAAGTTTCATCAGACAAATGCCTTCATAAAATAGTTCTCTTGTGTCTGACATAGCAGTAGGTAATTAATCACAAACCAAAATAAATGGGTTTTCATATATGACAACCAAACGAATTTGTTTTGTAAAATACTGAAGCAGTTTCACCTATGTACCATGATGATGGGAAGTCAAGAAACATCAGGTTTTAAAAAATTAAATTGACTCGGTTGTTGTATACTCAAATATCGTTGAGTACAACCAATTTGTTATGGTTTGCGATCAATGCAAATCGGTTGTACTGATGTTTGAGTATACTGTACTGCACAACACAGCACAATTTATGAATTTGATACAGGTGTTTCATCTATTACTGTATCACATTGAACAGCTTTATGTTTGGAGCCACCAACTACGTCATAATCATCATTTACCTAATATACACACCTTGCTACATACCAAGTTAGCCCATGCACAACTGCTAACTTATTGGTCTTATATAGTGTCCTAGCACATGAAGTACTTACACATGCAAATACAGTATAGTATTGAAATTTAAATCCTCAAGGAATGTAATTGAACTAAAAATCATACACAGACATAGACAAGAAATTTTGATTATTTATTTAAAAATGTCAGATTTGAGACCTGCAACCTAAGGTCTGATAACCAATTAAACAAAGTATAGAATGCTCTTTGGCTATGAGAGTATTCTTAACATACACAAATCCAAATTTTTGGAAAACTAATATAATCAATGAGGGATTGAGCTGTAGTTATTCACTTAACTGTTTACACAAACTAGCCAAGACATGCCAGACATAATTGGCCTATTCTACCATATCCAGTAGTTAACAAGAAGTTATTTCCTCTGTCAAGAGATTTATTCTATCTGTCTACAACTAGGCACTGATTCCTGGTACTGTATAAACACAGCAGTACAGACAAAACTTTCACAACATGATCTCCACATATTCCTGATGATTCCTCTATGCATACACACTTCATACACATTTATTTATCCCTCTTTTATTCTCCTTAAATTAATATTTTTACAAAACAAGCATTATGGCTAATTACATGGCATTTCTTTTAACTCAGTTAAGTAATTGAAGAAATCATTGCATATCCTGTTAATTATATCTAAAGATGTATTAGGAATGGCAGGCATATGAGAGCAACAAACATCAGTAGGCTCTTTAGTCCATTAAACAAGCACAGGGAATGCTGCCACCACTTCATTTATATTCAAGATTCATTAAGTATGAATGATTCTTCACCAATCATGGTGAATATTCTTTTTATGTCTACGGTACAGTATGTGCTGAGACTTACGTATTTGGCAAGAATTTTTAAATATAAAGATGCACTATCCAATGTGCTTGATTGAGAACTCACTTATAACACTTTTATCATCATTAACTCCTCTGACAATGCTGAAATCTTTTTGAGAATCAAGTTAAAAGTTCAAAATTTCCCACAGCATATGCATGATCTTAAATTTCTGAGTGGTAGCTAAGAACTCCTGACACATCTTAGGAACTCATACATTATGGTTGGCTTAACTAACATCCTTTTGGGTAAAAGTAAATGAATCAAGATAGTAATCATGATGTGTACATTGTAAATGTGAGTTAATCCTCTGAAAAATCAACAAAACAGAGATTTCTCTCTTTTATAACAAATTATGTAATGCTAACCTGGCTGGGTGATCCTTTGCTTCACACAGTACTGGTCCTAGTCCTTACTAACATTACTAGTGAAGGACTAAGAAATACTGTACATCACATCCTGTTTCACTAATGCAGGCACTAACAGTGGTTTTGGTGTGAAATACAACACAAATATGTGTAGTACTTGTGATACTTCTTATAATGTGGAGTCTTCATAAACCCTTAAGACATACTTTGAAATTCTATAACAATAACTTGATTAAGGAGGGACATAAACAAGAATTTTGATTATCTATGCTACAGTTAATCACAATCTTACCATTCCATAAGGAAAGAGAAAAACCTGGACCTTTTTAATTATGAAGATGACAGCCTGTTCATAAGTGCACTGATAACTAATTCTGCCAGGTCTGGGGTTTAACATTAGAGGAAGCTCATTTCAATGCCCTTAAGTGATTCTATGCAGGTCACTTTGCCAACCTGATAGCAACTGTGCTCCCACCAGACAAACTTTCATCTCACCCTGATGCTAAACATCTCATACAGGATAAGGGAGTAAAGTATTATTGTGCATTGAATATATAAAAGTAATTTAAAAAAATAATGTTATACACCTCTAACAATGAAGATTTTGGTTATATGGCTCCATAACTACCTAGCAACTGGAATACTCTGATATGTAATATTGTATTTCATAAATTTAGTCACTATCACTTTACATTATTAAAACTTAAAAATACTTATACTTACCTTTATACACGGCATACACTGGTACTATGTGTTTGTAACCTATATGATCACATTTTTCAGTCCAAGTGGAATGTACACACAAGACTTGGCTGTGCAAACATTCAGTGGTGACAGATTGCATAATTTTCCCTTCACAAAATAAATCAGAATGACAAGATGCATATTCAACTGCTTTTTATACTGATTACATATTGGTCATTATCTCTAACATAATTCATATTTTCTATACCAGTTCCAGTACCATTTAACCCTTCATTTCCTGGTTTCTTCAACTTAAGGCAAATCCAAAAGTCCATAGTCTTCATATAGTTTCTGGGTCAAGTTATAGATAGAGTTCATAACGTCAATCACCTTGGGCATGAGGGCCTCATTATGTGCACGAATCGCTGAGTTGCCACCAGTTATCTTTAGGAAGAAAAAAAAAAGTTATCCAAACAGAGAAAACTAATATATTTTACTTAACAAAAATATACACACAAACTCTTGGCAAAATGCATGATTTACTCTGATATCCTATTTTGTGACTGAGCCTGAAACTTGGTGCCTCAAGAAATGTGTTGGCCATGATATATGGTATTAGGAATGGGACTAATGTTTTTATAATTCTAACTCCCCAAAGCAACCAGGGCCTTAATAAATCAAGCAGCATTTGTTGCTCTAGTACACAACAGAGGGCATGGAGGCTAGTTAGCCATTACAGTATTTAATATTAGCATATGACCCACCAAGCTGGTAGAGAAAAATGAATCGCAGGAGTAATATATAGACTTCCTAATCTTGATAGAGTTAATGAACGACTTATTTGGGATGAAATGCACAGGGCTTCCAGATATAGCAAAGTCTGTACAGTAGGCGACTTTAATTTTAGCCAAATAGATTGGATCGAACTTACAGGTAACTCAGAATCAGAGGATTTTCTTGAAACAGTTCAGGACCGTTTCCCAAGTCAACATATAACCAAACCCACCCGGGGTAATAATATACTCGATTTAGTTCTGTCAAACAGAGAAAACCGCATTAGTATGTCAAGGTAGGGAACAAACTTGCCAACAGCAATCACAAAGAAATAAGATTTCAATTAGAATTTAATGGCAGACGCAAGGAAAATTCCATTAAAGTCCCAGATTTCAAAAGAGCAAACTTTGATAGGTTGAAAAGGCAGCTGAGAGAAGGGATATCACATTTGGGGATGGATTACATGACCTCACACAATGTGCCCACAGAGGGCGAGCTCACTTTACCTGGAGACCTGACAACGATATCCTCACAAAATATGGTGGTTGAGGATGACCTGATCACGAGATCTGAGGTTGACGAGTTCCACAACAATTTAAATAATTACTTACTTAATGCGCAAAGGCAGAACATACCATACAGAAAACTCAGATCAGACAACAATGACCCTAAATAGATAAACAATTATTTAAAGAATATTATTGGACAAAGGAAGGCTATAGGTAGAAGAATAAATATAGGTGAAGTTTACCTCCGAGATTATTATAAGGTATTGGCCAGTAGGGTTAAGACCGAGATAAGAAAAGCAAAGAGGAATAATTAACTGAAGGTAGCAAGGTAGGCAAAGTCAAACCCCAAGGGATACTTTCAAATGTATCAAACTAAAACACGAGAAAAGATTGGACCAATACAGATGGATAACGGCGAGCTAACTGATAACGACAGAGAAATGAGCAATAATCTGAATAAATATTTTTCAACAGTTTTCACCACCGAAAATTTGAACGTGATACCCGAGACACCGACTATAAATAGAGATAGTGAAGAAAATAGATTAAGCGAGATAGTAGCGACTGGTAACGACGTTAGTTAGCAAATAGACAAGCTAAAGCCTAATAAGTCGCCAGGTCCTGGTGAGATATTTGCCAGAGTATTAAAGGAATGTAAGGAAGAGCTTAGTATGCCCATAGCAAAAATTTTTTAACATGTCCTTAAAAACGGGTGAAGTACCAGAATCATGGAGGATAGCGAATGTAATACCGATTTTCAAGGGAGATAGATCACTATCACCTAACTACTGTCCAATCAGCTCAACATTAATTGCAGGCAAATTACTGAAAGCAATAATTTCAAACTCTATTCAAATTCACCTGGAGAAGCACAAGTTGATCAATGATTCCCAACATGGCTTCACAAGCGGGCATTCATGTGTAACTAATCTATTAACATTCTTTTCAGCTGTTTTTGAATCAGTGGACGAGAAGAACGACTATGATGTGGTATATCTTGACTTTAGCAAAGCCTTCGACAGAGTCCCCCACGAAAGACTAATAAGAAAAGTGGAGGCTCATGGCATTGGAGGAGATATTCTAAAATGGAATGGAAACAGCAAGTGAGTATAAACAGCAGTAAATCCGACTGGAGTAACGTCACTAGTGGAGTACCCCAAGGCTCAGTACTTGGACCGTTATTATTTATTATATATATAAACGACATGGATATCGGCATAGACAGCAACATAAGTAAATTTGCTGATGACACTAAAATAGGGCCTGTAATTAAATCTGACGAGGACTCCTCAAAACTACAGGAAGATCTAAAAAAAAATTTTGAATGGTCTGAAAAATGGCAGATGAAATTCAATGTGGATAAATGTAAACTACTTAGTCTAGGAGATGTAAACAGAGAAACCAGATATCAGATGAACAACAGTGTTACAGAGAAATCCGAATGTGAGAAAGATTTAGGAGTAATGTAATGATAAGTAGGAATCTTAAGCCAAGAATGTGAATTTGCTCAAAGCAAGGCTAATAAAGTACTTGGGTTCACACAAAGGAGTGTTAGTTACAAAACTAGAGAGGTCATCCTGAAACTATATCTTGCGCTTGCGAGACCTCACTTGGATTACGCAGTTCAATTCTGGTCACCGTATTACAGAATGGATATAGAATCCCTAGAAAGAATACAAAGGAGAATGACAAAACTAATCCCGGGCATTAGGAACCTTGAGTATAGAGACAGGTTAAAGCATCTTAATTTGCACTCCCTCGAGAGACGTAGAGTAAGGGGCGACATGATAGAGGTGTATAAATGGAAGTCAGGGCTAAACAAAGGGGACATAACAAAGGTACTCAAACTATCCAACCAGGAGCAAACTTGTAACAATGGTTTTAAACTAGACAAATTTAGATTTAGGCGCGAAGTAGATAAACATTGGTTTGGAAATAGAGTAGTGGATGAATGGAACAAGTTACCAAACATCATTATTGACTGGTATACGATGGATGGCTTCAAACATAGGTTGGATGAATATATGGGCAATAGGGGTTGGGTGTAAATGGGACTGCCCAGTATGGGCCAATAGGCCTGCTGCAGTTTCCTCCATTCTTATGTTCTTAAGTCAGCCATCTTATATGGATTCCATGATACACCATTCAGTTCCAGCTAACTTCATTTTTACCAATAGAGTATACAGTACCATATTAGAATCTCACATATACACACACACACACACATCTGTGGCTGTCACCTTGAAAGACTTCACCAAAGCATCTGACTTAGTCAATCACAACATAATTATCAACAAAGCCATCAACCTTGGCTTTTAGATAAGTCTCATACCATGGTTAAAAGACTTCCTCAGTGACCAATGCCAGGCTGAACATTGTCTCCACCTTTCAGTCACTCACCTGCGGTATTCTCCAAGGCACTAAGATGGGACCACTCTGCTTCTTCAACCTAATCAACAATACACTGAAAGATAATCCTGCTTGCTGAACATGTGTTGACAACTCCACCTTTGGCATCAGTGTGAACAACTTGGCTCCCAACTTCAGCACCCTCCAAAATATATTGAAGTCTCCATGATTGGTCCACCACCAACCATGTCACTATCAACCATACCAAGACCATGATTATGCACATCAATCTTTCCTCTGACCATGTCCCACCTACCTCCATCACATGCCAGGTTATGGATTCCATGAAGCTCCATCGCATCACTGGTCTTCTGACTTAAATGCTACATAAAGAGGAACTCTAGGTAAAGTGCATTAGAGTGTGTGCAAGACTATTCTCTCCCACTCTAAATCAACATATCAAGAGGCACCTAGCACAAAGATCCTATTAACACTCTCTGCTCATCACCTTGTTCTCATCTGTCAGTATGGGATAAAGCTACTACACCATCCTCACCACTGACTTCTGCTACCATGTGAAATGACCTGTCTATGAATTACTGTTTGACACCACAACCACACTCCAGCTTATACAACCACGTACAGATCGTTATAAGAACAGCCCTATTCCAACCTTTGTAGAAATCATCAACAATTTATAGATAACTTATGTGTTCACACCTTGTCAATCTCACTTTAGTACTGTAATTGTGCAGAAACTTCTTAATAAATTACTGTCCCCTCTTGTCATCACTTTATTATACAGTATTTCATAATGTATAGTACTGCACCATTTATGTCAATTGTATATATTCAGCTTATGGGTGCTGTATTTGTTAAGAAACTTTCAATTATTATCTCTCTCACACATACACACAGAGTACACAATGTCAGAGAAGGCAGAGGGTGTGAACTGTGGAGTATTGAAATGAGTGAAGAAAGGGTCATGGTGATGGTATGGACATATGAGAAAGCTGCAGGAGTATAGGATAGTAAATAGGGCGTGCAGTATATAGTCATTATAGCAGGTCTGTGGTGATTAAAACAAGAATTTGGATGTTTCAACTGATAATTATGTTAGGATGATGAGGTGAGGAGATATTGTACATGGAGAACTGACTGTGTGGATGGAGTCATGACTTGGAGTGATGTATTTATTGCTAATTGGCCCTCAGAGGAGGTTTTGGCATACTGTATATTAAAATGATCGTTAGATGTGTGGCACTACAGGTCATAGGGTGCTGGTCTCATAATGAAGGAATTGGTGGTAGACATCTCTTTAAAATTTCTTTGTTCATTTGTTGTCTGTGTAATTCTACAATAAAGCAACAGCTTTCAGTTCATATCTGAATTAAAATTCTGACTCCTCATTAAATTTTGATTATCAAGAAGTGTAGCTTTATTTTCTCCTTTTTTATTATATTTTACAAGAAACAGTCTTGCCAGAACTTTGTGTTCAGTTGAGCATAACTGTGTCTTTTTGTGGGGTTATTGCACTGTGCTGTACAGTGGTCCCTCGGTTAACGAGCACAATCTGTTCTAGAAGGTTGCTCATTAACCGAAAAACTCGTTAACCGAAACCATTGTTTCAATAGGTTTTTGGGTAATTGGTTCCAGCTCACCGAAAATTGCCTAAATTCAACAAAAAAGGTAGAAAAGTACATTTACTTTGAGGTGTGTATGTAGAAGGCTCCTGGATGATGATGATGATGGGAATTAGAATGGGGGTGGAGGAGAAGGGAGAAGGGAAGGCATTGGGGTGGAAGAGAAGTCACCCCATGGCACCATTTCACCCATAAAATTTTAGTTCTCTTGGTGTAATTCATGATTATTTTCTTTAAATCAACACTGCACTGCATTATATATTGTCAATATGAAGAAAAAAAAATTCAAAATGACCAATAATTTGCTTGCAAACACAAAAAAAGCATTTAGTTGAAGAGAGTCTCAAGCAAGATGTTACCTCCACTGAAAAGACACAAAGACTGACGCCTGTATAGTGTGTTGAGAGGCTGGATGGCGCGCATAAAACTAGTTTCATTACCTTCAATTATGTTCAATAATTGTTAAAATGACTAAAAAATTTAATATTAAACTTTTAAAATTATTGAACAGTATAAACTTCTTGATATTTGCTAAAATGGTAAGGAATTTAAGCCCTAGAACCGATTACTGTATTGGCGGACTAATACTACAGCTGGTGGACCGCCAAATGCAAGCGAAAACACGTTCAGGTCGGCTCGTAAGAAACTCGTTAATCGAGGGATTGCTCGTTAACCGAAGTTAAGAATCTTATGGAAGGTATCTCGTTAACCGAAATCTTGTTAACCGAGGCACTCGTTAACCGAGGGACCACTGTACTGTATATAAAAAAATGCCCACATTTTTGGTGAATCTGTAAGCCTACCGTATTCTGTACTGTATATCCACAACCTGAACGTCATAGTAAACAACCTCAACAACATATGCGTAATAATCGTGCAAAACTAATAACAGCGGATCCAGTATCTACTTAAATGGATCTGAAATGGTCAGGAAAAGCCGACTACTCACTCTAAAAGACAAACTACAGGTAAACACACTGTTAAATGAATGATTAATCAGCAAAATAATGAACAGACTTACCGGCTTACTTCCTAGTACAACCTGTTGGTATAACAAGGAAAAGTTCAAATAGCAGAAATAATTAGGCATGAAAGGACACACATGTCTCGCATAACAACGACACACACAAGATGCAAGTTTCTCTAGTGCTGTACGAAATCTAGAACTGATCCTAGAAGTCCCTGTACATCATTGATGGCAATGTAGTGTACATGTGATACCATATCGATACAGCATACAATACATCACTGACAAAAGGTATTATACATCCTTTATATCAAAGCACTGTACAATACATCCTTTATATGAAGGTAACGAGGTATACATTGCATTACTGTCTCAAGGCACTGTACATCCCTGACATCAAGGAACTGTATATCCCTGACATCAAGGCACTGTACAGCCCTGACATCAAGGAACTGTATATCCCTGACATCAAGGCACCGTATATCACTGACATCAAGGAACTGTATATCCTTGACATCAAGGAGCTGTATATCCCTGACATCAAGGCACTGTATATCCCTGACATCAAGGAACTGTATATCCCTGACATCAAGGAACTGTATATCCCTGACATCAAGGCACTGTACAGCCCTGACATCAAGGAACTGTATATCCCTGACATCAAGGCACCGTATATCACTGACATCAAGGCACTGTATATCCCTGACATCAAGGAGCTGTATATCCCTGACATCAAGGCACTGTATATCCCTGACATCAAGGCACTGTATATCCCTGACATCAAGGCACTGTATATCCCTGACATCAAGGCACTGTATATCCCTGACATCAAGGCACTGTATACATCCTGTATATCCATGACATCAAGGCACTGTATATCCCTGACATCAAGGCACTGTATATCCCTGACATCAAGGCACTGTATATCCCTGACATCAAGGCACTGTATATCCATCTGATATCACATCAAGGCACTGTATATCCTGACATCAAGGCACTGTATATCCCTGACATCAAGGCACTGTATATCCTGACATCAAGGCACTTATCCCTGACATCAAGGCACTGTATATCCCTGACATCAAGGCACTGTATATCCCTGACATCAAGGCACTGTATATCCCTGACATCAAGGCACTGTATATCCCTGACATCAAGGCACTGTATATCCCTGACATCAAGGCACTGTATATCCCTGACATCAAGGCACTGTATATCCCTGACATCAAGGCACTGTATATCCCTGACATCAAGGCACTGTATATCCCTGACATCAAGGCACTGTATATCCCTGACATCAAGGAACTGTATATCCCTGACATCAAGGAGCTGTATATCCCTGACATCAAGGCACTGTATATCCCTGACATCAAGGAGCTGTATATCCCTGACATCAAGGTAGTGTACTTCCCATACATTAAGAGATTAAGAATGACCCCCCAAAAAACCAGCAATTTTAATTTTCATGACAAGGACCTCAGACAATAATGGCTGGAACTTTTAAACAAGAGACAAAAGTGTATTTGTACAAATGGTAAACACTTACCCGCTCAATGATAGTTTGCTTCGTTGGCATCATGAGAAGGACAGTGCTAACAGTTTTTGCCAATACCCAGTTATGGTGTTTAGACAGGGTACGGCCATACAACTCGGAGGATATGGTACCCAGTCCAGTTTCGTCTGTAGCTTTGTGGATTTCAGAGAAAAAACCAGTGATGAATTCTGCAATGAAAATTAAAGATTTAAGCTAAAATCTCAATTTCTTGCTGAGGACATGACATAAGAGATTGGTGTAATTCTGCTGACTAAACCATCCCAGGTAGAGTCTTGTCATGCTAAAGGGCCATGACTTGTGTAGCAGCAGGTTACACTACCCTTATAGTATATTAAGTACTGGACCGTATAAACTATTGCAGAACAGTTTCTCACCCATTGATCCAGGGATGAATCAACCCTTAAATGGTGACCATCATCGGTAGATGGTAGCTGTAGGGATGGCCACCATCATCTGTGGAAATTTCCTGTTTCTCATACTCCTTTTGAGTTGTAGGTTCATGTGTAACCAATAGATGTCCTTGACACCACTCCCTTATACGTACTTCTGTAAAGCTGACCCGCGCCCTAGTGTTAGTGTGGCCTTACTGACTATGGCAGATGGACATCCTTCAACATCTTGTACTAGTGAAGGCTCCAGAGCACCCCCCTCCTCCCGTGCCGTCCCGCAACATTAACCCCTAGAAAGTGGATGCCTATGTTGTTTGAGCGATGATAATAGTAGTGAAGAATATTCAGAAGGAAGAATATGATGTGAAAAGTGAGGAAACAGAAAGAGTTTTGATAGCATCAGTGAGAGTGAAGAGGCAGTGGTCCACCCCCATGTACTCTACCAATACTACCATGCCTTCTTTTGTTTGGTCTAATGGCACAGATTTTATACCAAATGTTCAGATTTTGATGAAAATGATAAGTTAAACATTTTATATGTATGTCCTTTATATTTGGGTACATTTGAAATTTTGGGTAACTTTTTTTTTAAACATGTGCAGGGGGAGGGGGTCCCTAGTTGCTTTGAAAGCCAGCAAGGCTGCACATCCACTGCAGGATGCCCCACTTGTATCTAAGATTCAATGTTTTTATCCCCACATTTTCCTGCTTGTAAGGTGCCTATCAAGGAAAGTGGATAGGAGCCTATCACAAAAAGTGGCAGAGAAACCTAGTCACTTGTCTCATACATATGAAATAAAAGTTCATCTTTTAGCCATTCATTTATAGCCTACAGATCTTTAGTAAGCGAGATTTAAGATTTAAAATCACCAAACAATAGGAGAGAAGTAGTCTGTGTCATGAGAAGTAACTGATGGTATTGTAGCTAAGAGAAATATTCCTCAAAAACAACAATCACACAGTCGGCACATGAAAATCCATCAGGAAACCAGGATCCACATTTTAGTCATATATGGAAGAAAATAAAATCTTGTGCAGTAAAATGGCTGCTTCTGATAACTTAACAATAAGAGATATATATCTCTTGGGTAGGAAAAGTTAAAAGAAATAATAAACCTCAATGAGATCACTTTAGTGGGATTTAATGTAACATGCATGATCTAATGGTTCAGCCTAGAAAACAACAGACTTATCCTGAGATCCTATTTTATAGCTGAGTCAGGATCAAACTACACACCGTACTAACTGACAAATCTTTGAGTCAAAACTCCAGGCCCAACTTATGAATGGGATCTAAAAACTCTGTAAAATTATCCTTCACCATCATACTAAAGTTCTCAAAGGTAATCACTACGTAACAACAGCCAACACAAGCGTGAAAAATGGCCGTACGACATTGTTAATGATGATGATGAGGAATGGACCCTAAAATTATGAAGATAAAGACTTCGACAGTTAAATGTGAGCATAATGTGAAATGGTTCAAACCTTACACTTAAAGATATCAGTTACAAAATGCTCACTCCTGATCAACTTACTCCAGATCTAGCTCACCCCAGCATCCTGACTCAGTAAAAAACAGGATTTCAGCATTAATCTTCTATTCAATCTATGCCAGCTAGAAAGGGCAAAGGAGGTACCCAAAGGCAATTAAGTGCAATGCCAACTTGAGACACAAAGATAGCAGTCCTACTGAAACAATCACATAAAAGTAATAGAGAGAGAGCTTCATTCAAGTAACCTTCAAAATTAAGGTCTTCCCCCAAGTTCACCACCTAAGTGTTTCTCTGAGGACCCATATTATATTTGAGTCTTCTTGGATTCAATTTATGATGGAGAAATGAAGAATAAATATCTCCAAAGCAATTATAGATGCAGCAAAATCATTATCTAAACTTTTTACAATAGACAGTGATTGAACATTTTAGTGGTGGGTGACAACTTCTGAGCTACAATGCATGAATCCCTTAGCAATGATACATCGTTTTGTTTGTTTTTTTCCTTAGCCTAAGTATCTCACTGTTTCAATGAGGCAACCACCACATTGGGGGTTCAAAATTCTAATTCAACTCCGTGAAGTGCAGCTTGGAGCACTCATATTGTCCTATTCACTGTACCACAAGTTTTGTTCAGATGCATAATATGTGAAAATCTGGTTTCAACTTATGGAGAAAAAAAAAAAGTTAAACATCCTTGTACAGTATATATGCATGTCTAAAAGACTGACGAGAAAACAGTGAAGGTGGAAGACACCTTGTACAGTACAACACAGTACTTACCAAGTCCTCTGTGGAGTCTCAACAAGGTTCTGGACCCAGACTGTTGGTCACTGCTGGTCAAGAGATTGTTTTCTCTCTCATATTCAATCATGGACTGAATTGAATAATAGTAATCTCCTGCACCTCCTTTGCGGTAACACTGGAGAGTTGTGACCTGATAATGAAAGCAATGTTCAATAGATATGAAAAGTGTTAATACAAACTCCAAAACTAAAGCTAACATATTCCTTTGAGGGTGACATGAGGAGAGGTTGTGAGAAATGACCTCATAGATTAACACCTGATGAGAGGGGCTACAAGAAGACATTCAGCATGGAAAGTTACCATCATGTAACTATGGATGATTGCTAATAAAAGAAATCAATATACAGTGCTCAACAGATGTAGCTGATTCACATTACCAGGGTTCAACTGTCAAAATATATATAAAGAGCTCATGCATATCATCATCCACACACACCACAGTCTCAGCTCTACTTTGACTCTATGTAACTATACCTTACTCAACTACAGTACATACAATTTCTTCACCTTCCTCACACAAACCCTGAATTCTTCCCCTCTTCGCATATTTCTACCCCAAGGAACCTCAATGTCTTATTATCAGTTCATTCTTCTCCTTAAACCCCTAACACATTACTAGCTTACAACACTCTCTGATGAATAATAAATACAGTATTGCTAAAAATTTACCTGTCAAAGCTCTCATTAGCCTTCCATCAGATTCTATTTCATATCTGGTTGCCAATATCTTTACGCAGCGCTGTCAACAAAGTTTATTTCCACTGTTACTAAAATATCACCTCATTCCTTTAATGGCAAGCCCTCATCATCCACGTTATCATGATCATCACCTTTTTTATGACCACAAGGTCTATTACAGCCTCTCTTGTCAGGTTTTTTTTCTCTGAGGACATTTCTCACAACCTCTCCCCATGTCAATCTTAGGCAAATGATAAAAATCAGATTAGAAAGAGTGAATTGTTGTTTTCTGTAAACTAAGAGAGATTAATATAATAATCTGTACATAACATACATAGCTGAAGCTAAGAGTTAATACTGTACACTATAAGGTACAGGACTCTCATCTTCCTCCCTGCTGACCAACTACAGTAATAACATACGTACTGGAAATCTTGTTTCTTGTTTCAGTATAATACTGACTTTCCTGGGGCAAAACACAACAGAATACACAGTATACTTATACAGATATTGTGCAGTATAGTTTAAAACAATTAGGATACATATGAAAGAGAAAAATTACCTAATGACAAGATATTATGAAGAATGTGTTAAAAAATAAAGACTCCTGATGCTGGCAATACCATAATTTGGTCACAAACTTACTGTATCAACTAGGAACCCCGTTGTGACCAGCCTCCTGCATCTAGGATATTTTTACAGCAAACATAATTTTGCTTAGGTAAACTTCAATACAGTACTTAACGCTTAGGCCCCGGGTGACGTTCCAGAACATCCGCCTATTTTCCCGCCCTAACCTGGGGCTTACGGGTTAAGGTTTCAACAATATCTGGTTTCACCTACTAGCATAGCATTTTATAGTACAGTACAGCATATGAAACACTAAGGAAACAAAAATTTGAGAATTACATCCCCGAGATTAAACTTTGTGCAAAATGGTGTACTTACCTGTGACTGGCTCCTTTCCATTATTTTTACAATGTTTTAGTGAATGATTTTGAAAACAAAATGTTTGATTTACTGAAGTACTGTAATGATTAATAAATATATGGGACCACATCAAAAGTTATAATCCGTATTACAAAATACAACCTCAAAATCCCAAACTCAGGAATTCAACTTTTTCAGTTACAATATCCAGAAAAATTTGCTCGAAATTCCTGCTATTTTAGACATCTAAGAAATCCTCAAACATTTTGAAGGAACAAGAGCAATTCACAGACTCACCATTCACATGACATTAGTCATTTAAAGGCTATTCACGAACAAACATTGGCTGATATTGAAGCTGCCAAAATGTACACAACTGATTTTGCTAAGTTAGTGAAGGATGAAAGACAAACTCCTGAACAAAGTTACAATGCAAATTAGAGTGGTGCATTTTTGAGGTGTCTGCCTCATTAATACATTTCCTGACACAGAAGAGAAGGTGTCATATGGTATCAAAGAATCTCAGGTGAGGCTTACTGTTCTACATGTGCAAATTCTGTTGGCATACACAAATGTAAGCTATTTGTGATAGGGATGAGTACAGTATTAAGCCTTGTACTCTCAAAGGTATGTAAATTATGCCTGCATTTTGCAAGATTAATAAATGGACAGAGATCATCTGGAAAATAACCAATGATTGGTTCACTCATATCTTTTACATGAGGCCTGTAGGTGGGCTCTATTCCTTGCAGTCAAGGTTGGCTGCGATTTTGATCCATTACTAACCTTTGATCCCGGTCAGAAATCAGGTCTGCTCACGCTGAAGTGACAATCCATAGAAAGATATTTTGACTGGAGCTGGACTGTATCGTGAGCGTCCCTTCCCGTGCAGGACCGCCAGTGTGGATTGAAACAATGTGCTCACTCCACTCTTGCTTCTGTCGTCACTGAGTTTGGTCGTGTATTCTTTGGTTCGGTGTTGTGAAACATGGATCCAAAGAAGAGGAAATCATGCAAGTGGAATTCTGGGAAAGGTATGTTTATTTAAAGAAAATAATAATGACTTACATTTAGTATATATTAAACAAAATATAGCTTTACAAATTAGTATTACACAAACGATTTCATCGCTTCTTTTCGGATGAATTGTCAATTGAATTATAGTGAAAACCAAGGCGAAGTTGTATGACTTGAGTTCTCCACAATATAGTGATAACGTGGCAAAAAGAAGCTGGGAGGAAGTAGGCAGTCAGTTGGATAAAGAAGGTTAGTTTTTTAATAAACATCTTCCCACAACAATGGTCTGGCTACAACTGAGGGACACGAGACGGCCCGTGACCAGAGCGAAATCATCCCTTGACTGGACTATGACCGTCCCTAAAGTGCGAATAGAGCCTAAAACTGTCCTTCTTTTAGATAATTGCTTCATTCACTCTCCTGTGAAGCAGTTGACTGTCAACATTTATTGTTACTGTTTTATCACGCAGGTTTCATTTTGTCAAGCTTTATCATAATTTCTTCCTTCACTCCTTGCACTTCCTGTCTATGGACCTTGCTGCTCTCTGTCTTATCAGTCTTATACAACTTAATTTGCTTTTGAAAGTCTGGTATACTTACCTCTTACTGTACAGTTACATCATGAGATCTTTGTCTATTTATCCCAGGAGTATTAGCCTAGCTTGAATATGGGTCATTTGTCAATTACATATACCTGTTCAGTACTGCCCTTCAGAGGGCACAATGTCTTGTGTACCACCCCCTTGGACCTAGGCCTTCAAACAGTAAAATAATGTCTATACACACTCACCTTCTTTTGAATATCATGGGAGACAAAGTTGAAAACCATCCCAAGGATTTTTAAGAATCTGTGGAAAAAAGCAAGCTAGCATGAAATCCCCTTTTATAGACAAGGTAAAGATAAAAATGTGAGATTCATGTCATTAACGTAATTTCGAGCAGAGCCTGATATTACCAGAGGCCTCTGACATGCTTAGCAGAAGGATATATCATCAAGTCCGATGATGCATTTTACCCCTTGTTAGCACCTTGCCCAGTGAACCAGGGCTGAATTACAGCTTCAAATGCCTACCCAGTGGTTGCTATAAGTCAGCAAAGTTTCAGGTATACTGTGTTGAAACCCTAACTCGGAGTCACATGTGTTCTGAATCACTCTCAGGCTCATGCAGCTTCATGCCTCTTATTCTCCAGTTGCTGCCAGATTTAAACCCACCAAAGGGAGGAAGAAGTTAAATCAAGCCTCTCATTTTTTTCCTAAAGTTGTGAGTGAGACTTCAAGCTTCATTCCTTCATTAACAGTTTACAGGTCATTAATATGTGACTTGTGAGATTCATTTCCAAGTAAGAATGGGATTATCATCAAACATCAGTATCCCAAAGGGACGAAGGAGGGATAACAAGTTTCATGATCCTAACTCGGTTGGCGGCACAGGTATAGCGGTAATGAGTGTATCTCTCACTACTGTGTCCTGAGTTCGATTCCTGACCATGGACAGATATAAGAAGTGTTATTGAATGTGACACTATCAAACATGGCAGGTTCCCTACGGATATTCTTGTTTCCTCCTGTACTAACACTGGACATTGGAAGACAAACTCACGAAGAACGAAGGGGGATTAACCCATTAACTCTCTCGTAGTCTTTCAACGTAAATTGTGTCACTAGGCACTCCTGTGCTAGCGCAACCCCTTCCGCACAGCTGTATCTCACGCTGAGAGCACCTCTCCCGTAAGCAGAAATGCTGAAACAGTGGACCGGTCCTATCAACCACCTAAGTTCTTCCCACTAGCCTCATGGGCTGGCAGATGCATCTCTAAGGGTGGGTGCAATTTGAATCTGGATCGCTCTACCCAATGTTTACTAAAATGGAAAAAACTTTCCTGTTACGGAGATAACCTGAACTAAAAGACTGTGAGGGAGTGATATTTCCAACCATGGCTAGAGTACCAGGGGGCTAAGTGTGCAATTCCCCCAGATAAAAAAATAAAAATAAAATATATAGGCACCTTAGCTTTCGTCTTTATTCAAGACATCTTCATACACATACAGTCAACCCTCACTTTACGCGGTTAATATAACCCACAGGGTAATGCGGAAAGTGAACAACATAACATATGGGATTAATTGAAATAGAGACCGGGCCGACCCCCAAACTCCACTTTTTGACGACACACAACTATGTTGTAGACACAACTATGTTGTAGTAAAAATTTTATCTTAACTTTATGATGGTATGCACACACAATTAATAATTAAGGGAAATATCAATAATATTAGGTTTTTTAACACTTACATTAGTAGAAAAGATGGCTGGGCACACGGGGATGGAGGGTTGGTTCCGAGGCAGAGGGCAGATTATTGGCCCTCACCTGTATCACTTGTATCACTATCCACCACAGAGGCTTGCAGGGCCTCTTTGTCAAACCCCTCAAAGTCCATATAAGTCCATATCCTCACTATAATTATCACTATCACTGACTTGGGCGGCTGTGGTGGTGGCGAGTGAAGAACTCTGACGACCTCAGTGACTGGGCGACCTTGTGCGCACCACTGCTCGGCGCGCACTCGGATGGCGGGAGAAGAAGGAGATGGCGGAGGTTTGGATCCAAAAATGGTGACTGGCAGCACTCTCAGCGTAAAGGGGTACGCATGAGAATGTAACATTCGGTTTGACGAAGATACCGCATAAATAGAATCATGGACCAGCGTAAAGCGAGGTTTTTGGCAATAACATGTATGTATGTATGTATGTGTATATATATATATATATATATATATATATATATATATATATATATATATATATATATATATATATATATATATATATATATATATATATATATATATATATATATATATATACATACATACATACACTTACTAGCAAGTCTGAACACTTTTGAAGCCATCCTGGTGGTCCAGCGGTTAAGCGTTCCCAGTCTGATCATGAAGCCTTACTTGGGCACGTGGGTTAGAAATCCTGGCGGGTTGAGGTGTTGATTGTATGTAGAAGTCCGTGTAGAAGATCGTGCTTATATATATATATATATATATATATATATATATATATATATATATATATATATATATATATATATATATATATATATATATATATATATATATATATATATATATATATTATATATATATATATATATATATATATATATATATATATATATATACATATATATATAGGTTGACAACCCTTTATCCGAAATTCCGAAAACCGAAAAAAAAATTTGTGGAGCCATTATTTTTTTATTTATTTTTTTTTTTACACGGGTAATAGCCCACCCGGGCACATGTCACTGACCCACATCGGGGCCTGGGGGGTGAAAATGTAATAGTAATAATAATTATAATAATACAGGTAATAATAATACAGTGACCCCTCCGTTAACGAACTCAATCCGTTCCAGAAGGTCGTTCGTTAACCGAAACCATTGTTTCAATGGGTTTTTGGGTAATTGGTTCCAGCTCACCGAAAATTTCCTAAATTCAACAAAATGTTGAAGGATTCCTTACTTTGAGGTGTGTTATGTAAGCTCCTGGTCTTCCAGTGATGATGATGGGATTGGGCAGGGTTACGGGAGGAGAAGGGAAGAAGAGAAGGCATTGGGGGTGGAAGAGAAGTCACCCCATGGTGCCATTTCACCCATAAAATTTTAGCTCTCTGGTTTAATTCAAGATTATTTTCTTTAAATCAACACTGCACTGCATTATATATTGTCAATATATAAAATATATTTCAAAATGACCAATAATTTGCTTGGAAACACAGAAAAAAAAGCGTTTAGTTGAAGAGAGTCTCAAGCAAGATGTTACCTCCAGTGAAAACAGAGAGAGACTGACGCCTGTTTGCTGTGTTAAGAGGCTGGATGCCGCGCATTAAACTAGTCACTTTACCTTCAATTATGTTCAATAATTGTTAAAATGACTAAAAAATTGAATATTAAACTTTTAAAATTATTGAATAGTATAAACTGGTATGCCCCTAGAACCGATTAATGTATTGGCAGATGCTGGTTGCCCGGTCAAAGCGAAAACATGTTGAGGTCGGTTCGTAAGAACTTCGTTAACCGAATTTTTTTTCGTTAACCGAATTGAAGATCCTTATGGAAGGCAGTTTGTTAATTGAAATTACGTTAACCGAGGTGTTCATTAAACGAGGGGTCACTATAGTAATAATATTGATAATACAGTAATAATAATAATATTCAGAGTAAATAAATTTTTTAATAAAAAATACACAAAAATAAAAAATAACAATAACAATAATAATAATAATAACAATAATGCTGTAATAATGAAATAATAATAATAATAAAGAAATACAAGAATGAAAAAAAAGATCAAAAGTGAGAAACATGACCTAGACCTATGAATTATTATTACTGTATTATTATTATTATTATTATTATTATTATTATATTTTAGCCCCCAGGCCCCAATGTGAGTCAGTGACCTGCTGGGTGGGCTGATCCTGTAAAAAAAAAAAAAAAAAAAAAATAATAATAATATATATATATATATATATTATATATATAGTTCATAATTTCTGGTTGCATGGATTCGTGGGAAATAATTTATGGAGGGTCATTCCAAATGAAAAGCGAAATAATGATTAATCTTTAAACAAATATATAATTCGAGAGTAAATGTCATATTACAGCATTTAAAAGTATAAACCGATGGGTACCAAAAACTGGCATACTGTATAAGGTTTAATTTTAGCTTAGACCACACTCTGGGGGCCCAGCATTACACAAGTCAAGAAAAGCATTAAACACTTTAGGGCCAAACTTAAGACTTAATGTCCTGACACTAATATATTAACATCCCTCATCTTAGTCTTCACTAGACTTATTATAATTCCAGCTTTCAATTACTCTTACCAGATCTGGACATTACATACCGGTAATATCTCCCCAAGCAGAATTTAGGTCATCTGCTGCTCTTATAGTTTTAGTTTGTTCAGAGCTTCATTTAAAACAAACAAAGTACAGTCCAACTTACTTGTTTACTTCACTGTATGCACGCAGGTATCCATCCATGTAAAGTTGTCCATCATCTCTTTTACACTGTGTGAACCCATCCAGGACCATCTGTAGATCAAAGTTGAGGTCCTGTGTGTTTATTTCAACCAAACTACCATTCTCTTCTGTCCCTCCTGACATCCCTGTTGCCCCTTCCACCTGATCATTGGTTAGGCGAGAGGCTTCAGTAGGTTGCTGTTGCTCTGTTGCTGGTGGGATGGCTGACATCTTCCTTGAAGAATAAGGTTATCTTAAGGAAACAATTTTACAAAATCAATTCACTACAGTACCTTTTAAAACAAAATAAATTTCCTTACTTATACCTTAAGTCCTTAAGCTTTATTCAGAGCTAAGAGACAAAGGCCAAAGGGTAGAAAAGAGCAACTAATTACTGTTTGACTTCCACACAACAATTCCAAGTTCAGGAATGATAATTCATGTTTTTGACGACTCTCTGATGACTGCAATAACCAAAGCAAAGGACATATGAGGAGGAAGTGGCTCTTTGGCATCACTCTATGAGAGCTCCTGCTTGGAAACTGTGGCTTGATTTTCCCACTTTGTGACTCATCAGATTCTCGAGCAAGCTAACACCTAGACAGTGTGGCTTCCTCCTAACATATCAAGGTAAAACTTAAAACTATATAACCAGATTGCTCCTGAGACTTTAAATTTAAGGTGATAGTTTATACTCCATTGCATGCCTTCATGGGCTTATCTACTGGTGTTATGACAGCTTTACGTAGAGCAACATTTATAGACATTAACTTTGGAGTCAAACACATCCAAGAAACACACTGTTGTGATGTTCATATAAGCTGTTAAAGCTATCACTGTAAATATAAACATTAAGTAAATACAGTAATATCAATTTTCCATTTGAGTATTGGATTAACACTCATTGGGAGATATTGACTAATTAAAGAAGGTTTGCCCACTTTTTGCATTCTTACCAACCAAAAAATATTTCAGTAGATGACTGATTGCTGGCTGTTATGTGAGTCACGACATACTTACCAATCAATTAACTTCCAAAAAATATTTTGACAGTTACTAAAAAATCCCCAAAAGGGTATTACCCTTCCAAATTTTAATATACATATACACAAGTTGACCCATCCCAACAAACATATTTTCATTATCATTACCATTTTCCATGTTTAAAGTGGGATAGCCATAGTTACGTGATGGCATGGTGTCCCGGTTGCCATCTGGCAAGTCTGAATCATGTTTTCTGTTGGATGCCCTTCCCATTGCCAACCCACTTCCACAAAGTGGGAACACGGCACTATATGAATGACTTCAAGTGTCCTCTTAGTTGGCAAAGCAGGGTTGCAACTCCCTGAGGTAATCAAAGATTACCCTCCTACTTATAAAAAAAGTCATCAACTCATCCAGCCCTTTATCTTATGGTCCTGCTGGGCTACTCTATCATCTGGAGTGTGTGGTGTTGATCATCCATTCATCCATGACAAGTAGGCCTAGAGGGGTGATATAACCTGGCCATGATTGCAGAACTTTGGAGTACAGAAAACAAAAAAAGGTCCATAAGCCTGACAATCCATAAGGGGCAGTGTGGATACAGCAACCTGAATAGTGTACTTAACCTTTTGTACACAAGGGGGCAGTGTGGGCAGTGACGACTTGACTGTCTATACTCCCTCAACTGTTAAGTTTGGTACCCATTAATAGTTGTGTAGACTGGGAGTACCCTGGGTATGAACTAGTAACCCTTAGAATAGGAGGCAAGTGATCTATCCACTTGGCTGCCACACCCCTAAACACACTAAATAACAACTTACCGAGATCCACAGAACAAGAAGAAAAAAAAGATGAAGTGCATAAGGATTAATTAAGTAGCTTCACCATAAAGACGACACACTTGTACCATTACGGCAAACTTATATGATAATGCAACTCTATGGTGAGGATTAGAGATTATTTTAATCAATTATAATAAGAGTGGTTGAAGACACTTAATTTGATATTTCACTGGTGTATTTAGATTAAAATACAGCAAGCACAATCACACACTCTGGTCTACATAAAACTGAGTTTTTTTTTTTATGGGAAATAGCCCACCCGGGCAAAGGGGGCGGAAAAATAAAAGTAAGAAGAAATTAAAAATAGAAAAGAAAAAGATTACATTAGTCTACACCACGAAGATGCCGTAAACCAGCTTTTAGAAGAGAGACAGATTGTATGAGTATGGAAACACAGAAGAAGGCAGAGCATTCCACAGTTTGGGTGTGTGAGGAAAGAAGGATGTACTATAACGGGTTAATCTAGTGTGATCGACATCCACAGAGAAACGGTGGGCACTGCGGGCAAGACGAGTATTACGATTCCACAGCCTTACCAGCGGTACACAGGATGCCAAATCCACCGAACATTGCCCGTTAAAGTACCTGTAAAAGAGATTGAAGCAACATTGCAACGAAGAGAAAGGGAAGGAAGATTATCAACTAAAGGAGGAGAGTTAATAAGATGAAATGCCTTTGAATCCATCCTATCTAACAGTTGGACAGAAGAAGAGACACACCAGATGAGAGCAGTAGTCCAAGTTAGGATGAATGAATCCCTTTTATACAGGTACTTAAAGCAACTGTTCAGCATTCCCAGTTTTGGGGAGGCAGCTTTAGCAATGTTGAAGATGTGTGGCTTCCATGACCTAATGATTGCATCCTGAAATGTGATTGGTGGGAGATCATCTAATTTAGAAAGTGTAATTGGTAAATAATGTGTTTTATTACAATTTAATTTAACCAAGTTTCTACCACCCCATTTGGAGATGCTGCACAGATCCACATTGACAGATGTAATGATATCAGCTCTAGAAACAGATCTAGTTTGAGAATTAGGGGGAAGGGGAAAATGTGAAGAAGAGTGAAGAGTAGAATCATCAAGTGTAAGAATGGATAGAATTAGTCGTAGTGTGAAATAAATCATTGATAAAAAGAAGGAAGAGAGTAGGTGAAAGAACAGAACCCTGTGGGACACCACCATTGGTAGAGAAAGAGCGAGAGAACGATCCCTCAACAACAACTGCCATGGATCGGTTCTCAAGGAAGCTAGAAATTAGAGAACAAAGTGGGGGATATAAACCATAATAGGGAAACTTAGAAAGCAAAGACTTGTGTCATACCCTGTCAAATGCTTTGGAGATGTCGAGGGCCACAACGAAAGTTTCGCCATAATCCCAAAGAGAGGATGACCAAAGATGGGTGCAGTAGGAGAGGAGATGACCAGTAGATCTCGCTTGCGAAAGCCATACTGGTGATCCGACAAGAGAATGGCATTCAAGGTGACGGAGAAAATGAGAGTTCAAGATACAGGTAGTTTAGAAAATCTTAAAGAGGAAAGAAGTTAGGGCAATGGTTAGAGGGATTGGAATGGTCACCATTCTTTGGAATGGGCTGAACCGAGGCATGCTTCCAAGAAGAAAGAAAACTTTGGGTTTTGAGGCAAAGGCAAAAGAGGCGAGAGAGCACATTGGCCAGAACTACAGCACACTACCTCAGAACACGAGGGGGTATTCCGTCCGGAAAATGCGCCTTATTCACATCCAACCTGGATAACACACCAGCAACCCTACAAGTGGAGATTATAGGAAAGTGCATAGGTTCAGTAGGGGGGATAGAGTTGGAATCATCTAAGGTACATGTTGGTATAGTATCTCAGCCAAGAATAAAAAAAATGGTTTGGTTGTTTTACTGGGAATTAATAATGAACACTAATATGTACAGTAACTTAACTTATATTCTTCTGACCTAAGTCAAATAATAATAATAATAATAATAATAATAATAATAATAATAATGTAATAATAATAACAAAAATAATAATAAAAGATATTATACATAGAGTATTGTACGTATTGTATATAGTACTGTATATGATTTTCTTTCTGATAAAATTATAGTTTTGGTCATCCCTGTATGGCTATTTAGATATCCAAACTAATCCAACTAAACCAAACCTAACCTAACCTAACGTGTATCTAACCTAACCACAGACCCCCTAAAATTCCACGGATGACCGAAACTAAAATACCTTCTTTCTTAAACCCAACATAGTAGAAATGTAGTTATACAGTACTGCATTCACAGAGGTCCATCATACTTTGGTGTTAAACTTTCATGCTATAGCTACGTAAGTTGATAATCTCAGAATTTTCTTTTGTTTGTTTAGATTTGCCAGATTCGACTTATTTTATTAATTCGTTTTGGTTCTTTTAAAAGGAATGCAAAGTACAGTAGATGTCATAATGGTAATAGACCATGAGTCATAAAACTCCTGTTGTTGGGTGATACATGGTGAGCAAGGAACTAAAATACTGTATGGCCTGGATGTACAATAATTGTTTTTTAAGTGCACTATACAACATATATACCAGTACACAAACGGCCATATATACACCAATACACAAACAGCCATACATACACCCGCACACAAACAACCATTCTTACAGTTGTAATATAGGACTACAGGTACTCCTCGATTTACGACCTACTCGACTTACGACAACCCGGACATATGACGGCCGTGGTCGTACAAAATATTTTCCAAATTACGTATTTTCGTCGGGAAGGAACCCCGTCGTAAGTCGAGGAGAGACTGTATATAAATATGTGGTTGTACTGATAGCTATTGGATAAGAACTTAGTATGGAACATTTAAGTATTTCTGAATAACATTAAAAAATAAATAAACACAGACAAAAACCCTACTTTATCTGTACTTATGATTAATGAGAAAAGTAAAGGTACTTTACAGGCTCACATACTAATAAAAATGTGGTTCCATACTTGCTCATCCACCAAATTTAGTATTAATTTATATTCTTTGTAAAAAAAAGGAAAAAAATTAATTGAACTTATAAGATCCCTTTACTATAAAAAATATACCCACAAATCTCAATTATGACAGTCTCAATACAGTGTAGTGCTAAGTACTACTAAGACATATCTGTAACTCGAAATATTTATATATCTTAAGATTTTCCAGAATTAGATTCGTCAACACAACCTAAACATAAGGAGGAAATAAGCTTTAAATGGCTTTAGCTACCTTTGGTTGGATTGACTACTATTTGCGATCATATACCTGCATTATCTTTGTACTGTACATACTGACTCACTGTAATATCCCATAGTGATTTTACTGATACAATAGTTATCTATCCAAATACTATAACCAATGGCCCTGCCAGAAGGTATCCTAATATGGCCCATCCATATTCACCAGTCCCAACTTCTCTAACAAGGGAGAAAAATTTACTTAAATATTCATATTATTAACATATATTCCCCAGACTAACGTTATTAGTATCATTCAGACACTAAACCCTAAATGACAGGTTCTGACTATGTCAATCATCGTCAAATACAATGTTTTCCTGGGTTTGACCTGGGCGCGCCCCACTGAACTACTTCAAGTAGCGGTTGATTTGCGCTCTTCGCCTCTATGTTCCTCTTATGTTGAGGGGTGTCTACTTCTTTACACTTAATCTAGAGATAATAGTGGTGGCAGCCAACTCAAGATACAATAAGAAGACAAATTAGCTTGATAAATAGCTGAAAAAACACTTACTACGAAGAACCAGTGTTCGGCCAACGTCACTCTAACAGGCAGGATGCAGGCACGCACTGTCATTTGAGGAGTAAAAATTTCTGTACTCTTTTTTCATTTGCGATTAATTTAAGATAAATCACCCCCATTACTCATATATTTTTATTACTAACGTTTTTTAAAATAAGCTTAAAAATCAATGAATCTCTAAACTATATGTCAAATTTCTTCCTCCATTACTATAGCGTTATGATCGCGAACATAAACACCAATAGTCCCACTACAGTATTTAAAAAAAAGTAAATATTAGGATTGTTGATAACAAGTAATAAAACGCGTGACTCGTGATTTTCTGTGACGGAAAGCAAAGTTGCCATTATTATTTAGGAAAACATTGTGTGTGACGTGGTGTGGGGTGCTGTTGGAAATTATGTAATAGGTGGAAAGTTGGGTCCAAACTTACGTAATATTGACCACCGCTTAATAAGGAGACAATTAAACGAACACCTATAAGACAATCAAATCACATGAAATACACAGCATATAAGAAGCACCTCAAAAACGCACACCGACACATCACGTACAGTGTAGGCTACTGTATGTGATAAGAGGTGTACTACTGTCGCACAGCTTTTATCTCTTATCTCATTGGCAAAGCCACAGTTGATAATTATGAATATTCTGTATACATATGTAATATTCATGGCTGGTTCCCTCACTCCCCCTATTACTGGCATCTATCTTATATTTCCACCAATGCCCACTTTTGAGTGACGTGAATCAATGAAACACAAATAAAAGAAAGGGGGGATGACAGGATGGAAATATACAATACAAGTGTTTAGGATCCTATAACACTTCATATCGATTCACTGTGCATTCCAAATTGAGTTGGCAAGCTTTGTTGATGCGAAGGCTAACAACGTATCAAGAGAACTACTCTAAAATACCCACCATCTTTGTCGTAGCATTATCTAACGTGAGACCTCCTTGTTTCACTAATTCAACAATTGTTTTTTTTTACTCGGACCCTTTATCCTATCGACCTCACACCTCCACTATGCTGTTCTCCTTATATAATGATCTATCACCAGTCATAAATTGTCAACCATACAGTTCCTTCAGGATTTTTTCGGCCCCACGAATAATTCTTACATCTTCATTCCTTACCCCACTACTTTATCAAATTATAACATTTCACGGTTACCTCATCTGGAAAAGATTCGTGTTTGTCTGCATAAGGAATTGAGAAGAAGGGGCTCTCTAAATTTCTAGTCCAGTTTGATTTATATTTGCTTGGTCTTTTATCCATGCATCTCCTCCTCTACCACCGAATTCTCTTTATCACACAGTTCTTTATTTTCCTCTAGAATACCAGTCTTTCTTTCTTCTTTGAAATCATCATTCATCTCTTTGTTTTACTTACTTTCACCAACTTCCTTAACAACAAAACACACGCTACATCACACACTGTGCATCTCAATAACTCAAACGCAAACTCAGGCACATTTACACTGTACATTCAATTCAAACACGGGAATGTATACACACAGTCATTTCACATACAAAACACACACACACACGCGTCTGAACAACACAAACTCACGCACTCTCGCAATTACTCTTTCAAACAAGCGCGCGCACCAAGTTAAGCTAACAAAAACACACAAACACTCACCGGCATGCACAACACACTCTCGCTCTCCCTCTCTACTCTATCGTAAAATCGTAGTGTTGCCATTCAAGCATTCATAAATGTTCATCAACATTATTATGAGCTTCAGTAGATAGTGTTATGATAAGTTTGATGTCATAGCTTCAGAACTCCTACTTTAATCTAGCACAGCATATACGGTATATACACCTGCACGATTTAGCAATTTTGTCACTCGGTAAAAGTTATATAGACACACAAACGTAAATATGAGTACTATTGACTGTTCTTCTTTATTTTGGAGCATGCGTATATGATGCCGCGGAACTCTTGGGCATGGAGGAACCGTGTAACGTGTACTGATAAAATCCCACTTGAGAACATTATTTTCAATTAGTTTCCAATGAACAAAGTACCAATAGATAATTTCCTGCCGTATACAGTCCATCACCAATATACAGTAATAAAATAATTACGCTCTCTGTTGCTCCTGGATATGATGTTCACCGAGTGTTTTTGGAATATTCGCAAAATTTAGGAGTTGGCAAAATATATGGAATGGTCCCAATATGATTTTTTTTTTCAGAAAGTTCAATATCGTTTAGCGAGAGACCCACACACTATGTTGTTGTTGTTGTTTTTCTGGCAGACTTTTAGGGACTATAAAATCAATTGGGCCTAGTAGCTGAGATTGAATGTCCAATGGCTTGTCATGGAGCGCTGTGAATCAATTTGTATGCTGAAGATTAACAGTATACCGAGTATGTGTGTCAACATATGCAGGTTCTGCTTGTTGTTCTCGCCGTTTCCTGTCACTTTCTCTTCCATTTTTTTTTGTTTCGCGATGTACCCTCTCTTTCGCTGAGGTTATACTGTAGTCTTGCACAAAAGTAGGAGAGGAATAAAGACAATAGGTAAAAGTTGACATTGTGTACAAAACAAGGTCACACACACACACACACACACACACACACCGAACATAATATATATAATGGAAAATAATGAAGAACTAACATATGACCATG